TCGGTTTGAATTTGATACCTGGGAAATTGTCCGTGAGCGCGCGCTCTCCATTTGCCAGGGCGTGACAACCACCAGCACTGATGGCGATGTTGATATGGGCGAAGGAACCGCCAACGCCAGTTTGAATGGTTTCATCCGGGAGACTGTGGAGGACCAGATCTACAGCGACTACGCCTACAAGATGGACTCTATCTGAGGCGGACTGCGCCCACGGAAAAATTGCGGAGAGTCAGAGAGACGTGACAACATAGGATAGGTCGATCGGTTAGCCTCTGGTCCCCTTCTCTTGGCACATGACTTCCCCGAAGCGCTCGCTATCTCCCCCTCGACTCCCTAAGGGATACGACGGTGCCACAAAACAGTTGATCAAGTACCACCACTGGTTAAGGTACCGTCACCTGACTGCTGTTTCATGTACGACACGCTTCATTCAGTTGCCACAAGCGACAGCCTTGCTGCATATGAGGCTTGTTTTCGGGTTCCTCCACTGTTGGATTCCGGGCGGCACCCGTCGGCTTTTGATATTGAACGTTTGGATCACCCAATATTGCCAGGTGATTTAGTGGTGGACAGTTAGAACTACATATTCCAGCAGGTGCAGCCAGACTGATGACCTACTTTCGAGTCAGGGCTGGAAGGGATACAGGTTTTACCGACATTCTGGCAAAGACTGCACACAGTACTTTGTAACAAGAATACAAAAAGAAATACCAAACGCCTATCATTACCTATAGGCATTCTAATCATTCTATTTCTGAATTATCTCGTATATCACAGTGTAAACGTCATTTATCTGAGCACACTGCGCGAATGTACGCTTTTGGCGATGACTAGTCGGTGTCCCAATTATAGAATTTTCTGGGGAATCTTGCCAATGTCAGAAACTAATATAAGTAATCTCCTAATTTAGTGGATTGTCGAGGTCCGTGGCCGGTCATTCTCCTAAAAAAGGAATCCAATTTTTTTGGGGGTGTATCCTCGCTAATCCTTGCGAATCCTAGTCAATCCTTGCCCTACGAAACCACTGCTCTGAGTTTGTCCGCATCCCTGTCGGCATATCCTCTAAAAAAAAACAAATCAAAAAGCCAAAAGGGTCGTGGAATACGCTAGAATCAAATCTCAACTGGGTCCACGACTTACGGGGGACACAAGTTGAGATCTCAAGGCTTCGGATCCGCAATCCCCGTTACATCCGGGCTCTTTTTCTGATTATTCCCCCGTCTTATTTACCTGCCGCCAAAGCCGATGGCGTCCAGCCGTGATCATCTACGGTCTGACACACTCTCGAGTCTATCTACAGCGAAAACCCCATCTCACCCCTCTCTATCTCCGTCGACCAAAGCCCCACTCGCAACAACCCCGGCGCTCCTCCGCGATTATGCCCTCAACATAGAACCCTCGGCCCAGGACAATCGCCCAAATCTCCCTCAAGAAATCAACAGGGCGCTGCCTGCAAAAATTCCCGAACCGGCTCAAGAGGGGGCAGCAGGCTTGTCACTACCTCCCTCAAAATTACGGCCGTTTCGCCAGAAATCGATTAGCCGGCGATCGAGGAAAGCATTGTCGACCGACTGTATACCACGACAGACACTTTTGAAAGCCTTGGCCTCCAGGCCTTCGATCCTGACCAGTAACAACAATATGTCGTCGAGTTCCTTGTCGAGTATGCTCAATAAATCCACTCCGGCTTCCCCGCCTTCCGACAACCGACAACGGCGGGGGAGCAATGCTTCCTCCCAAAACCTCTCTACCGCACTCTCAAATCTTCAATTGAGCGGGTATCTCGATCGATCACCTGCCACGGCACGTTTAATACTACAATCGCCATGTTATTTCCACAAACGCTTCGATGATGCTGTCAACATAAAGAAGGTGTTAGAGGAAATCGCTGATGACGAGTGGCTGTCACATTCGCGACTAGTTCAGACGGCAACTGGAGTTCGTGAAGTATCGAAGCAACTACAACGGAGACCTATCAAACGGGAGGTGCGAAATGTCATGATTGTCACTAAGGCGCGTGATAATAGCCTGGTGCACTTGACTCGGGAAGTTGCTGAGTGGCTGCTTTCAACCTCAAGATACGGGAGTGAATTAGGAGTCAATGTCTATGTAGATGCGAAGCTGCGAAATTCGAAACGATTTGATGCTCCAGGGTTATTGCAAAAAGACCCGATGTTTGCACAGATGCTACATTTTTGGACACCGGATCTGTGCTGGACATCACCAGACAAGTTCGACTTGGTACTAACGCTTGGTGGTGATGGTACCGTTCTCTTCACATCTTGGCTCTTTCAGCGCGTTGTTCCGCCCGTGCTCTGCTTTTCGCTAGGCAGCCTGGGTTTCCTCACAAATTTCGAGTTTTCCGATTACAAATCACAGCTTAATGCCGTTATGGGCGAGGTTGGCATGCGCGTCAATTTGCGCATGCGGTTCACATGTACCGTCTATCGGAAAGACAGGAGCAAGGGAGCAGAGGCTGGCGCTGTCGAGGAGGGCGAGCAATTCGAAGTATTGAATGAGCTCGTCATCGACCGCGGCCCATCCCCCTATGTGTCGAACCTGGAGCTCTACGCTGACGACGACCTGCTAACAGTCGTACAAGCAGACGGCTGTATCTTCTCCACGCCGACTGGTTCCACAGCATACTCTCTATCCGCCGGCGGTTCTCTCATGCACCCATCCATCCCAGGCATCCTCCTCACCCCAATATGCCCACACACTCTCTCCTTCCGCCCAATGGTTCTCTCAGACTCCCATCTCCTCCGTATTGCAGTCCCTAATTCCTCGCGGTCCACTGCTTACTGCTCCTTTGACGGCAAGGGCCGCGTCGAACTCCGCCAAGGCGACTACGTCACCGTTGAAGCTAGCCAGTACCCATTCCCGACAGTCGTCTCCAACAACAACGAATGGTTCACAAGTGTCCAGCGCGCTCTGCGGTGGAACACCCGCGGCGCGGTCCAGAAGGGCTGGGATGGTGGCGATGTTGACACGGATTTCAACAGTGATCCCAATGAAGACGAACAGTGGGACATCGATATGGACTCCACGCTTGTTGGTACAGATAGCGGCATCGGTCCCAGTGAAGATGGGGACGCTCTGTCGCCCAATCCCATGCGTCGGCAAATGAGCCTGCTGAATATGTGATATTCTCGTGCATGTTAGCGATTTTCGATTTCCTTTTGTGCTCTATACCTCTTTTAACTTCTCGGTCTCGGTGTTCTCTCTTGTTTTCATTTCTCAAGGCCAGCGTGATGAGGTTCGCTTGGTGTTTGGTTTGCATTGTAACTATTTTGTTTCCGACATATCTCGGGCAGGGGAGGATCTGCACTGCTGTTTGTCTTGGATATCCTGTCAATAGATCATGATTGCCTCTATGGCTTGAATAGAAAGGCTTCGGCGGGTCGACTATGATCTTGCCTCGCAACTTGCTGTTCTGACCTCTAGACTTTAAATTCTGTAATTTGATGTAGAATGATGAGAACTTCCCAAGTCCAGCTCATTGTAATTCTGCTCTTTGGGTGTTGTCTAACTCCAATATGAGTAAGGTTTGTCTCCCCCGATCAACATATTCTAATTGACTGGTGTACTGGGAATTCGTCGTGGGAGGAGGTGATGTTGTTGAACACTGACGACTGGGACAGCCAGTTGCTTATGTTGACGACGGCGTATGAGCTACCACACGATCAGGGCGATTATCGCGAGCCCGGCAGCACCACAGCCAGCTCCAATGCCCACCGTGGCTCCCATAGACACTTGAGTTTCCAGCGGACCTACTATTCGACGCTGTGAGCGGGGACCAATATGATGCCCAGGTCTTCTCCCAGCTATCACTCGATCCCGACAACTGAGATACGCTTTGTTCAATAGGGAGGTACTCGTTTGAGAGTATCCGGGGCTCAGGGCTTGAGCCAAAAACCAGTTTCCAATGTCAACAATTCCAGCTCCATGATTGACGCCAATGAAGGCAGCTTGGAAGAAAGCTCGTCCCAGGGCGTAGGCCCTCTTAGTTCCGAAACAGGACAAGTACGCCGTGGGTGTTCTAACAAGAGGCTGTTCCAGGGTAAGATGAGTAACGCGAATGGCACCTTGATGGTGATATTCTGAGTGTTGGTGTTATCCTTGACAAAAGTGAATGCCAAATAGCTAGGAGAGGTCGCACCTTTTGTGTGTTGAGGGCCATCAGTATTCCAGAAGTAAAGACCCAGATCTGGGTTGTATGTTACTGGTAATTCAGCAGCAATGGCATCGCAGGAGCTTTGAGGTAGATAAATGTAGGGATCCACCACGTTTGCACTGACACTAAAGCCAGACTCAAAGGAGGAATTCCCTTGGGCCAGTAAGCCAGATTTTCTGGGATGTTTCCAGAGTGCGTTTTCTATAGATGTTTGGAGTACTGTTATCATGTGATAATTGTAAGCACAAGGCCTGTGTGGAGTATCAAAAGACGCAACGCAGCCCTGTCTACTCGATTGACGAGCCTATCGTATACAACAATAATACTGGTATCTACAAGGAGAGAACTTTTTTCAACGTTGGAAGGGATTAAGGTCAATGTGCCGAGGTCAGGTAGAGGTCTTGAGACTTGGCTACGAAGTAAATGTTGTCTTGTACCAATGCTAGCTGAAATTATCTCTCAATTTGCCGATTTTATTCTGCAGATGAACAGATAGGATGAGAAATTACTATTTCATATAGCAGAATGCTTTCAGATTGCTCTGGTTCCATTCATTCATCGGCTATATTGGAGAGCCCCCTCCTTAATGGCCTATATGAAGTGTGCAGGATTGTTTGTCTTCCCTGTCGAGTGCTTTTCATGTTGCCAAACTTCCTAGACGTACACAGCACGAGATGAAGCTGGACGAGGTCAGAATAATGTATAATTGATAATGTATAATTGTATAATTGTACTTTACACTTTCCAAATCCCCGCTCATCCAGCCATTCTTCATCCACTCAAATTCCAAATGAAAGCTCGGCCCAGCCAATTATTCTTTCTGAACTTAGAATCCAACAGAGATCTCAACACCATCTTCAACAGGGTGAGTCTCAAAGGCAGACTTGCCAACACAGTCGCCATACTCATAAGGAACGTCAATGGTACCAATTAGGCCCTCGACGATGGGGTTGCCAAAAGTGACAGCAGTCTTGGGCAAGTCGCCGCATTCCTTGGTGCCAAGGAAATACTCAACAAAGCCTAGCTGGCTTGCCTCAATACCCTTAGTGATAGCAGGGAGGGTATAAGAGCCGATATGAGTTTCCTCGCCAGTGACAGAATCAATCAGTGTGCCAACCCAGGTAGTGCCCTCGGAGTTCTTGACATTCAGGTGATAGGTGTTGGCGTAGGTACCGTCGATATTAACAGCACAGCTCACACCAGGGCCACCGTCAGCACCATCGCTGCAGTTGGCGTCGGTGGATGTGCTTCCAGGAACAAAGCTGGAAAAGGCAGCATGGACTACGGAGCCACCTGTGGAGTCAACTTGGGGCTGTAGGCCTGTATAGCCCACATCGGACTGTCCGGTGAAGGTAAATTGCTGGGCGAAGTAGAAGCCCACCTCATGAGGGGCGTTGGCGATATTGATGGGGAAGGTGATTTCCCGCATGCCGTCCTCGGGCACGCCTTCTACAGACCAGCTGTGTCCGACGAGGGCTGTGGCTGGCTCGAGAAGCGCGAGGGCGAATGGAAGGGTCTGGGAGAACTTCATAATGGTTGGCGTTTGGGCTTGAGAGGATTGATTGTTGGGAATGGGGGTGAGAATTTGGTGGCTCTATGCCTTTCCTTTATAGACTTGGTCACTGTTGCATCTACAAAGGACATGGGAAGGATTGATGTTTTCTCAATATGAAACATTAATATGTTCGGTATAGATGGGGATCTGCAATACTATGGAACCGATGGAACCATAGCATACAATATAGTTCCCCTAGCATTGACATTTGGCTTAGATTCAAAAGAAGTACCGGGGTCTAGTTGATATCCAAACCTTGCAATCGTCTTTCTTCAAGCTCTGAAAGATCATCCTTTGCTCCAAGTTGAATGAGACTCTCCATGGCTTTGGCTTTCCTTTGATTGGTTTTATTCAACATGCAATGTAACATCGGTTATTCAACCCCGCAGCAAATATAAGTTAAAGCGCATACAATATAACAATATACTCCCAGTTCTCCTATTCCAGTACTGTGCATTGTTCAATGGACACTTTATATTGGCGATATTAACACTCCCGTACGTGGAGAAACCGAGGTCCATAACTGCCAGATCTACAGTTTGGGCTTTCCACGCCTGGCTTCATTTTGCTTGCAGTAACTAAATATGTGTGGAGCTATAATGGTGCCAGGTATCGGAGAGATATGTAGTCTGCAAGAAATCGTAGGCTAAAGAGATCCTGAAGTTTAGGTACCGATTGTGCCATATAGATACGTTCCAACGCGCGTCGAAACTTGGCAGAGACAATACAGTCATGGACGTGTTGATCTCCGGGGCCACTCATTTAGAATGCCGATCGGGTCCTGCATTATCTACAATACAAGATTGTGGCTGCAAGCGCCCGGAGCGTAATCTAGTCCAAACATAGCCATGCGCAATGCCCGGGATGCGATGTAGGAAGGTGCTTCATGTGGTAGACTGCCCTGGAGGGTTTAAATATAAAATGCAATTGTTAAATTGCAGCTTTATATACCTGGTTCATATTAACGACTACATTATACATTAAAAGTGGCCTGAATAAAATAGATCCACCCCCTGTCAATTGTCAGCCACGACTCCACTGTGGGCGCCCAGGGGCACCAATGTCGGCGAACACAACACTGGGCAAGGGCTTATGTCGTACCTCGTATGACCACCCATGGACGGGTGATAACTGAGAGCTCTCTGAGAGGATGGTGACCCTGGTTCGCATATTGCAGCCCCGGCACGGTCTACTACCTAAGTCAGGTGCTATGCTACAATGCCATTTCCTAGTGTATCCGGTCCTTATATATCGCTAACATACCTGGTCAGTGGCTACGATAAACAAGGCTGCGATCGACAATCTGCAAAAAAAACTACGACACGACGATGAAACTTCCAAAGCCCTGCACAAATCTACATGAAGAACGACTACTGCTTCAGTTATTCCATGGGCGGATAGGCCTCCAGGCATGCTGGGTAGTCACTTGTGTGTTGATATTGCATGTTGCATAGATGGTCTGCGCCAGACGAATATTGGCATATGACTTCTCTAGGACCCTTGATTCTAGTAGCTTTCCAATAGAAAGGATATGGCTTGTTGGGTTTGATAGAGGCAAACTGATCGAGGTCAAATCTAATTCGTTTTCGTTCCAGATGGGATTTGATATACCCGATACGGAGAATTAAATTCCGGCAAAGTGTACGATTGGCAATAACAAGCTGGTTGTAGTTCATGAGTCGTTGACACCTGCGGAGAATTTTGCACAAATGAGAACTACACAAAAACCTGTAGTCATAGCATGCACTGCGTGGAAAGAAAATCTACTAGGCCCTCAAGGTTGATCTTACGGGGAAAGTAATCTTCTTGCCCGTGCACTATCAGTAGGTCGAGCATGTGCCATCTGTTAGACACCAATCTAACCTACACTCTCCCAGAGCTTACAGCTACACAAAATAATAGCGAACGGCAACCACTTAGGTGTCTGATCGTAACCCGAAAATTTTCATTTACCTAACCCCGTGTCTTTCGTAATTATAAAAAATATTATGTTTGCTTTTACCAGTCGCAATTCTCAGCGAGGAAGGTGGCCAACTTCTCAAGGTACTTCTTGTCCACGTCGTCAAACCCAGAAGGCACGGTGCAGTCGATATCAATAATAGCGACAGTCTGTTATTGAAAATGTGAGTATGTTCCTCCAAAGCTAATTCTGTCTCCAGAAACCGCGCCCACGTGGCTAGGAAATAAGTACTAACCTCTCCATTAACCAAGATAGGCACAACAATCTCACTGCGACTCTCTGCATCGCATGCAATGTGCCCAGGGAAGGTCAGCACATCAGGAACAATAATAGTCTCCTGCTTCGCAGCAGCAGTGCCGCAAACGCCCTTGCCGAAACGAATCTGCTGGCATGCGGGCTTTCCTTGGAATGGCCCGAGAAGAAGAAGCTGATTCTCCGAGGAAGAGTATGTAGTCGAGATAGTCACACCGGAACTAGGTGCACCAGGCAATGGCGGTGAGGAGACTGGGGAAGCAAGGGCTGGGAATTTGTCATCGCGGATATAGAATCCGGCCCAGTTGACGGATGAAGAAGGGGCAGGGAGGGAGCTATAGGCGTGCCAAAGGAGAGAAGCGACGTTGGAGAGGTTGCTGTTTAATCGTTAGCGATCATGTTTTCGGGGGTTGCCGCGGTTGCGCATGTTTTGAATTGCGCTGTTGTAACTCACCTAACCCAATTCCGCTGGCCGTTCAGAAGACCTTGTGTTGACAGCAGAAGCTGTTCGTATATGTCGGCCTTGGAGCTATCCGGCATGAAATAGGAGGAGTCGGCGTGAGGCTATCAGACGTGATGTGTTAGCTCTCTGTCTTGCGGTCTGCATGGATCTTCACGGATCCGCCGGGCTTGCAGTCATTAAATTCGCAAAGAGCGCGCATACATACCATAATGGATGAATATATTATGTGCAGAGAGGTTCAAGATGACAAGAATCAGGAGACGTGAAGGAATTGCGCAATCGCGCTAAGCGTTTCTTAAAAAAAGAGCAGAATCGGAGAAGCGGGGCCGTTTAGGCGTTCCGCCAAAAAAAAAAGCATCTGGAACTTTGAGCTTTCTTTGACCTCCGATCTTCCGAGGTTGCTCTCACGCCTCTGATTCTTTGGTTCTTTGTTCTTCGGAGTCCCGAGTCCCCGAGCCACAATCCATTTCGGAATGTGATATTCCTAACTCCGTAGGCCTTCTGTTGAATTGCCATTCGCCTCAAAAATAAGCCAGACTCCACATTTTACGCGGGGGTGAATCATATCCACGGAAGCCCAACTCTTGTCATGACCTTTCATTTATACATCAAGTGCTTGGTCGTCTCCATCTCGGCTCCTGAAAATTGGATTCGGAAACTTCAGATGCCGAAGTGTTGATGCAAACTTAAAACTAGGATACATCGCCGCCTTCGTTTTCACTGATTGGTTGAACTTTCTTCTCGCTGGGAGAGGCAAGAAATAGTCGAAGCCTTGAGCTAAACATTCTATGCACTTGATGCTTCTCAATCAAGTTGTTGACAATATGATTGACTTCCACCCGGAGCAGAGATAGTACTCGGGAAATCGATGGTCTCTTGTATTGGAAACTATGGGCTTTGCTTCCTGGTCGGCAATGGCCAGATTCTAGTTCCCGGGTACCTTTGACCCAGCCGTCGGAATTGCTGGAAGTCCCGACTGGCTCTTGAATGTGGATCTCATCGGGGGTAATACGAACAACCGGGCCTAAGAAGTTGCGTCAGATTCGATGACTTTCCCATAGATACCAGACGGCATACCAAATTTTCGGTGCATATTGTCTATCTCGTACTCGAAAATGCCAGGACCCCAGGCAGAAAAGTAAATCTCATACAACACTGTTGCGGCAGCAAGGCGAGGCCCTGGGAACCTACTGAGCTTGTGAAAATGAAGACGATAAATAATCATGACTAGGCTATAGGCCACCGCACTACCTAACAAGAAGTAGACGAGCATGATCGCTATTGGTTATGATCAAGGTTTGTTATAATAAAGTTGAAAAAGTGTACGATAGACTCCCCACATTCCAGACAGGAAATACAGTCTAATCCCAGGGCTGTCCTCTTGATATACATAAATTTTGCGGACAATGAAATCTCTAGGGGCTAGATATGAAAACCATCCCTCCATTATCTTGCCCCAGCCCCACGTCAAGAGCCAATTGGTCAAGTCCATGCCGCATATTATACCGCATAAACTACTTTTCCCGGTAGATCAAGCACTTCCCCACAGGCTAGCGGCATTTGACCTCAAATTCCAGAACTGAGCGACCCGGCCTTTGAAAATATGGTTCACTGTGTTCCCGCACGCGATGAAAGGAAGCCACAACCCCGTTGGTATCACCAATATTGACTTCATGGGATGGCTCTCACATCATACCGCCCTTCTCGACAAACCATACCATGTACGATCTACACAGATAGTAGGATCTAGTGCCGATATAGTGTGGCTTGTGGATTCGGAATTAGTGCTGATTTGATGACGCCGGGAGTGGGGGTTAATCCTAGATTCAGACCGCCAGTTGGCTTTGTGTCTCCCTCCCACTGGGTGACCTGTCAATTTCTCGATTTTTTTCTATCTCGAATCATATCTGTGGCGCAAAGGTTTAGGTGGGCATCGTTTCGCATCGACTCTGGTTGGCCCTCGGTTCTAGTAGCCCTTGATTTAGCTGTTCTGTGTCTTTTTAATTGTCAAGATTCAAAAGTGTGCGCGATGTCCTCATATTTGCGAGGTCCATGCGCATGCACTGACCTGAAAAGACTAGGAATCAAGGAATTAATGTGATCAGTGGCAATCAACCGGTGCGATGAAGTCTGAATGGTGTGCTCATATCTGAGAATCGTAGGGCTGACCTAGGGGCATGGGTTACACAATCTGTGACCTCGAGAATTCTCTGCATGAGATGAATACTCCAGATATTTTACGTATTCCATCAAGGATCCATCGAGGTCACGCCGGTCTACTCCTTGGCGAATCAACGAATCAACATCCATATTCACTTGATGTAGTATCGAAGAACAAGTCATATGGCAAACAAAGTTACGATACATGAAGAATTTCTAACAGGTCGCCAACAGAATCTCTAAAGATTGGTTCGCCAAAAATGAATTTCTATCTCTGAGCAGTCGTAACCTTCTATGTGATCAATTGAATCACCAATTGCATATGTCTAGTTCTGGTTGACGCAGATTCCAGTTCTGTCTCATCGACGAGGCCTATTATGATCCAAGAGAGCTTCGGAATTACTGAACAGGGTACGTCCTCAATGTCATAAGAGGAAAAGGAAAGGGGCAAGTTGAAGAGGAAATCGAGAGGGAATTATACTCGCAGGTAGAGACGTCGCGCCTTCCTTATCCATGAATAGCTTCATGAAAGCCTTAGGCCACCATACCTGTCGATGATTGATGCTGCTGCGGTAATCCGATCCCCAGTGCCCTGTGGTACATGTAAAGTGAAATGGTGCGAGTTGGGTTAGTTTGTCTACAACTTCCTGCCTCTCCGTGTCGGTGATCACATAGCCGTCCAGCGCATTATTCTATTTTTTGCTTTCTATGTCCCACATACTGTGAATAATGCATCGAAATGTCTTCTTCTGAGGTACAAATCTCGATCTGTACAATCACTTCTTCTACCGCAACCACCATAAGGTCTCGCGAAGGCATACGCAAGCTACATGTTAGTACTCGTTGTGGTGGTCGTCGTATAACAAGAGCATCGAGCCAGTAATACTTATCGTTCTCTTCAAATCCTATACGCATATATTGACGTATCTATCAGAGGCAGTGTAGGCCACGAGACTAGGGGCAAGATATCCAACTTCTCCGCTGCCCCTTCAAGTGCTAAAATCTCAACTGGAAGTAGAACAAACACCCTCCATCAATGACGCTTTCGATCCCTCACCACGCCCCTCGGCTACCAGTACTGATCTATTATTGACTTAACCTACCCAAGATCCCATGGTAAGCTTCTTCCGAATGCCTTAGCATAATATTTGCTATGAGTGATTCACCTTTCTACCCATCTTCTATTCAGTTCCCTGAGGTATATGAACCCCTTCGCAGCACAAATCCCGATACGGCATCTGTGCCATCTTCACTGCAGCCTGTTTTCGAAGTAGTTGCTGACGCCGACATCGGATCTGACAACGGGAAGGAGCCTACTGATGTTGACAAAAAGCCCCTGGAGCCGCCGCGCCTTCCTGTTCGCACCGCTTCCCCTACTAGCACAGCCCTCAGGGCAGTCCTTATGCAGACTCGTGCCTCTTTGGCTGACGAGGAGAAGAAACATGATGAAAAAGTTGCTCCGGAGAACAACGAGGTCTTAAGAGCTAAAAAATAAGCTTGATACGCTTGAAAGCAGGTTGGAAGATGTCAAGTAGGAATACGAAAGAGCAAAGGCGGAATTCAAGGCGCAAGAGCAGGCACAAGTTTCGTTCAGGACCAGGCATAGGGAATTGGAGGAGTTGTGTCACCCACGAGAGACGCTGGAAGTTTAGCCAAAAGAAAAGGGGGGTTTGGGGTCCTACGTAATTAGTGACTATGATACTTCAACTATGAATGATCCCTTGTGAATACACTGTAAGAATATTCGGCCGCTTATGCGGCATTATGATGTCTTTTTGGCAGTCCTCTTGATGTTCTTTTTAGATATCTTTTCGTTTACCACTTCTTGGTTCCATGAGTAGATGGCAGAAATAGACGGCGGGCTTGATTTGTAAAAAAAAATTCTACCTACCTAGGTAGTTATGTATAAGCATCGGTGTAGACTCGTGAGGTAGATGTATGGATTAGAAGGCTAAAGATATGCACTAAAGAGGAAATCAGGGCTTCGGGCGGCCAGGTACGCTTCCGAGTCCGATACATATTAGCCTCACGTGATAGTGACCGTGCATTTCTCAATGTTTCACCTGTTACTCCGTACTCCGTACAAGGATGTGTATTGTATGTCACTTTATAGGCCAACCCATCCCTAGCAGAAAAAAGCCTAAATTCTAAATCCAATTCAAGTCTCATTCAATATATCACAGTAGGGGTCAAGTTTTCACCATTCATCTTGATCCTCTGAATTTCTAAAATCAAGATGCATCCCGCATATCATTCCTGTCCAGCCCCATATGGAGACCCGTATAAAACATTAAAAACATTACCCCTCGGCACGGCAACACCCAACTGCTACGAGTGGTCCGATGTCTTTAAGGCTGGCTGTACCCCAGAAAAAGTGGCCCCTGAGCCGTCTCTACCAAGCCCAAAGTGGAGGCAACCGTGTCCAAGATGGACGGAATCGGGTAGAAGGTCTTCCGTCGCCAAAATGGAGAATATTTAAACGAAGTCCAATTCCAATTTCAATTGACACTACAGATCCTCATTCACACGATTACTCCTATCTTATCATAGCCACCACCCACAATGCCTGAGCAAATCCTTGCAGGAAAGACATGCCTCGTCACTGGCGGTGCCGGCGGCCTAGGCAAAGCAATTGCAACCCACTTCCTCGAAGCCGGTGCCAACGTCGTAATCTGCGATGTGAACGAGGAACGTCTGCAGAACACTTCGGCTGAACTGTCATCCAAGGGACCCTTGAAGGCCATTAAGACCGATATCACCAATACCAACGAAGTGGAGAGCCTATTCGAAACGCTGATTGGCGAATTCGGCAAAGTTGATGTCCTTATCAACAACGCCGGTATCATGGACCACTTCGACCCAATTGGCGATCTGGACATGGAGCTCTGGGACCGCGTCATGGCAATTAACCTCACTGCCCCGGCTCTGCTGAGTAAATTGGCTGTTCGCAACATGCTGGCGCAGCCGAAGCCCGATGGGCGCATTATTAATATTGTTTCTGTTGCCGGAAAGGCTGGATGGGCTAGTGGTATGACCTAACTAAAGCCCGAGGTTTCACTGGATCTGCGATTGACTTATTCTTTTAGGTGCTGCCTATACGGCCAGCAAGCACGGTCTGGTCGGATTGACTAAGAACACTGCCGCTTACTATGGCAACAAGGGCATCAAGTGTAACGCCTTGATGATGGGTGGTATGGAAACCAACATTGTCGATGCGTTCAGGAGCGGGATGCATATGGAGGGTTATGAGAAGATGATATCTGTCCTGAAGGCGATTCAGGCCCCCCACGTCGATGTGAATGAGGTTGCTGGATTCTGTGTGAACATGACATATGGAAAGGGCGCCGCTCAAATCAATGGCGCGACCATCGCTATTGATAATGGTTGGACTTCTGTCGTTGGATAGGCTACAAAGTTTTGGGTAGCTGGTTGCACAGTTCTATGGGAGTATAATTATGGAGGTGTTTGTATTTTATGACGTACATATATGTACCTTATACATGCTTGGAAATAACCTCGGAAACAAAAGAATCAATTCGGATACATCTCTTCCAAAACACAAAAGACCTAAGTGATCAAGGGATTTGGCTGAGGCGGTGCCTGATCCCACTTCTCCACGCCTTCGGGAATATCAATAACCGCCTCTTGACACCAGATATGAACTGCGGTTCGCAGCATCTCTTTGTTCAGACCCTCCAAGCAACCACCTTTTACGTTGGTAATTGCAGAAATTTCGGGCTGTTCGCCAGGTGCAGGCACAGCATCCCGGAAGCGATGGAGGAGCCGCGCGCCACAGTCCTTGCAGAAAAGGCACTCCATATCGCGTCCCTTGAGGGTGACGCGAGTGTAGCTGCTGACCAGACCGGATACTGACTCAGGGAGCTCGAAGTACGGAAATGTTGCGGTAATGCCGAACGCGGACGAACTTTGGTGCTGGCATTCTGTACAGTGGCAGATCCAGAGTTTCAGAGGTTTATCTATCGGTGTTGTGAATTGGATTTTGCCACACTGGCAGCGAGCTTTCATTCCCATGGTGGGTTGCGAAATAATGCAATTGTCCCAAGGTGAGGGGTAGGTCCAGAATACTGCATGGGACGAGCCCGGGAGTTACCCCGTCCACGGGTAGACTTGTAGGTGCATAGGAGAAGCCCTAAGGGCTCGTATTCCTCGTATCCATGCATATTCAAAGGGCCTAGGCAATAAATTTTTTAATTAAGTTGTTCTATAGGCCAAAAGGTCACAACTATTCCTCCAAAATCGGTTGTTTCGAATAGTCTTATGATCATCAGAATCATGTTCACTACAGCAATGCACTTGTTCTGTAAAGATAATCTCGATCCTACCTAGGTAGGTGATCAAACTTGAACTGCATAATGCTTGAAACCCGCTATCCCTATCCTCACATCTCATTTAAACCTCGAAAGAACTCTCGTTGGCGGGGAATTTCATCAAAGTTTACCCTCAATGGCCATCTTGATAACAGCAATAGCTCCGGGAGCTTCGTTCCATGCTTCATAGGTCAAGCGCAATGCCAATTGCATCTCTTCCACGCTCCCAACGGCAAATATGAGGACGTTGGCCCTCAAAGGCTCACCTGGGTTCACAAGGGCCGGCCAAAAGTGGGAGTTCATTTTGTGGACGGCCTCGTACAAAGTGCGAATCTGACCCTTGAGTTTCACAATTTCGAGCCATTTGTCGTCACAGTTGGCGATATTGGGGTTTTTGGCGATAGTCGAATAGTCGGATCTGGGTCCCAGCATGCGAGCAGTACTTCCATCACGAGGTCCCATTTCTGTGAAGATCACTTGAAGCACTTTGACCTTGACTAGGGTCACAGCAACCCTATGGGGAAGATTGATCAACCCGTCACAGAACACATCGAGTGGCTCAAGAGGATTGGCGTTCTTGATGTCAAGGTACGGCAGAGTATTGTTATCCCAATCATAGTCGTGATTCTGGCCAGCCGTAGCCCACCACTTCAGAAAATCATAGCACTCCTGATCTTGGTGGAGACGAATCATCACACCAGGGATGGCGTATCGCGAGCCTGTGTTGTCGCCTCGACAGAGCTGCAGGTCTTCCATCAGGATATCGAGCTGTGCTTGAAGTGATTCAACATTCCTAATAGTGGCCATCTCATTGGATAGGGAAGCGCGTGATAGCATGTAAAGGCGTGTCTCCGAAGTCAGCCAGACGTTTCTGATGCCGTTGGTAAAGATGTCACCCTGAAGCTCCCGTACGACCTGTTCCTCCTTCTCCATGGCAACACGACATCCTCTGATGGCGGTGCAAGCAGACTTATGCTCTCGGTGGTGAGCCTTCTGGTGTTCGACACCACAGTACATCATCACTTTGCAGCCAGAGCAACGAAGAGCTCCATCTTTCTTGCCGCACACGCCACAACCGGATGGGAGTGACATCTCTGCGCGGGAAAGTAGAAAGAAAGTTATGACAGTCAGAGTTTATGCTCGTGGTTGAAAATAAGGTCAAAACGAAGGGTGAAGTTGCCGATTGGCTTGTTGTGCAGAGGCCGAGGATGGTTTCGCAAGTTTTGTGAATGTAGACTGACTTGCTTGGGAGGTAAAGGAGTAAGGAAGCAGAGGAAAGGAGGATGGCTCGGATAAAAGAATAAGAAGAGGAAGAAAGTTAGGAGGTACCGGTAGGGTACTTATTTTGGACTTCATTTAGTTATCGAAATAGGAATTGATGATGTCTCGTACTTTCAAAGCCAAGTCCACAATATGGGAAAGTTGCGATGACATGCCCCTCTCAATCATCCAGTTGAGCATATGTCAACAAGGACTGAGATATGAGGCAATTTGTATTCTTTGTTTTCCGCAAGTTTATTTCCGTAATAGTAGATAGCATGAAACATTCAAGTTCTGTATGTTGTATACAGAAACCGTCCCGAGACCGACTTTCTTACATCGAAATCTGGGGGATACATACTTAGAAAGAGATTCCTCTTGATTCTTCACCCAGAGAGCTAATCATCCTGAATTTAGAAAAACACAAAACAGTAGAATTTTATACATCATTAGCTATTGCAAGCTGATGATAGGCCTAATCCCCGGACCACGTGAGAGCCATGTGATCTTGAGCATCTAATTTCCATCGGAATAACAGTTCATCCATTCAGGCCCCACTTCTACCTTTGCTCGCCTTCGTGAAAAGTACCGGATCAGGCGACTCCTTGCTCATTCTATCACTCAATTAATCCATTTACATGAATCAGCGAACGCCATCATGAAGTTTTTCGAAAACAATTTCACCTACGACTACTCCTTCCCCGCCGTCTCCCTCGCCTACTTCCTCCGCTATCCCAACCCTTATTCTCGTCATGTCCTCACAACCGATGTCATCGACAGATACGTCGACCCCAAGACTCAGCGCCTTCACACTATCCGGATACACCTAAAGAAGTCCAAAGTTCCATCTGGAATCCTAAAGCTCCTGCCAAAAGGCATGGGAGGCTCAGACAGTTCCGGTCAGAGCTATATTCTTGAGAGGACCATTGTTGATGCCAGGGAGGGGTGGATGGAGACCGAGTCCCGCAACATGGAGTGGACGGGCATCCTGAGCGTGGTTGAGAAACAATTCTACAAGCGGCTCCAATCCGACGAAGACCGCCTGGCTTTCGATGGTCTCGCCATCGACAAAATTTCCGAACAAACTAGTGTCAAGACTACCGTGACCTTCCGCTCCCGAATCGGACAGGGCAAGCTGCTTGCGAAGAAGAGACAGGACACTAGTGATATTGAAGACGAAGAGTCTCGCAAAGGATTCTTCTCATCCCTTTCCACTGCTGGTATCCAGCGGACAATTGAGCTCATCGGTGTGAGTCGAACTAAGGAGGCTGTATTGAAGAGCAAGCAGGGCATGAACATTGTCCTTGAACGCTTGCGTAGCGGTGGTGTTGTCGGCGTCCTAGAAGGCATGCGCCAAGACCGAGAGGCAGCTTTCGGACCTGACGGTCCGTGGAAGCGTGTCTGGCTGCAGGGCAAGGACCGCTCTATTGAAAACGACAAGTCGTGATTGACATCCGTATCTATTATGGATTGTCTTGTATTTGCTTGGGTTATATACCCGTCATTGCATTCTGGTTTCAAGCGTGGAGTTCTGGCGTGGGGATATGATCGAAACTCTCCCACACATCTTTTCTAACTGTTGATATTCGAGACTGTATGTCTTTCTGTTTGCGTGAGGCAAAGCCTCTGGGATGTACATTTATGTTAGGGGGCATTTTTAACGCTCATTGGAAGGATTATTGTATTATACGCATCAATTTTCAATCCTTATCTTCGCTTTTTTTTTAGGGCTTTTGCAATCACTACTGGTGTCTATCTATCTAGTCCATACAAATTCTAGAGAGTTGGACGAAACTGGCGCAAATCGCGGTATGCCGTTTCCGACGCGTGAACAATACCACCTTATGCGAGACGTGACTTGGACTCGCTTCGGTTCCTGATATCGACTAGAAGCTAAAGTGAGCGTTGAATTGCGTTGATGTACCTGATACGACTAGCCTCTCTACTCCTAACAAAAGATCATTCTTAAACTTCCAGCTCCTTTCGTTTACCGTCAATTTATCTTTACCATGGAGATCAGCAATCTAGAAGATAGGACGGAGACCATCAACACCGCCACCTGGCCACGAAGGATGGCCTCACCTTCGGTAACATACCTTTCCTCATCTCTGATCCAAAGGCTTCGCGAATGGCTCCTGTTAGGCTTGCGCAGTTCGACGCACGGAAATCCAAGCCATTATTCCCATCTTTGATTAGCCTCTGACGGTGCCTTTCCGACGACAGCCGATTCACGTACGAACGGTGACTAATGCTATAGATATCATCCGAAATTGCTACGGCGGCACTGACGGCAATGCCGGCAACGCCGCATTGTAAACGCAGAACATGCCACACCCCTCGCCTCTAGTAAAGGCCATCGACAAAGTACTCGGTGCTCAGCTTGACCTGCAAATGAATGACCCACACCCTACGGCTGATCAACTCCACTAACAATAACAGCCTTGACGTGTGGGAGAGACAGAGTTCGCAGACTGCGCTACCGAAACTATGTGAATGATATTTCGAGATCGTAGCATTATTCTGAACCCCCAATATTGGCTCGCGGTTGCTTTTGGTTCTCATGCTCGGGTTCGGTATTGTTGAAACCCCTACAGAGTAGGTTGTTTCATTCTTACTTTGGTCACTAAACTCGGTATCTGTAATCATTCTGGATTCCTTCCCGTGTATTCTATGTTGAAGTTTCGGGTTCTCTTTAGATTGAAGATGACCAAGAAGATTATAAGCAAGGACGGGGTTCAAAGCGCATGGACCTCGGGGTGTACTCCGTATTTTGAGGACTATATACGGAGTATGCATACCAAAGATTTAGGTAGGTAGCCCGACATTCCATTTTGTGCGTACAATTACCTAGGTAATTATGTTTTTCCTTAGCAAACGAGGGATTATCCTATCCTCTAACATTGTGAGATAATAGCCCGGAGAGGATCTCTAGGTTACAATATTATTCCAAGTGGATTCGGGCGCCTCACGATACACATAATTGTACGCTAACGGGCAGCCGAATCAGCCAAGGGCCTTGGCTGAAAACACAGGCGAACCCGAGATTCCAACACCAATGAGAAGTGCGTCTCAGACTCTAGAAACCAAATGACGCAGTTATATTCTCCAGGGTCACCGATTATTTCGGTTCGGATTTTTTGTATCTACGTCAGAGGAGTTATTATTTTGTTGTACATCGAATTCGGACAGGCAAGGATTATATACTCCGTATGGCAGTCTACTTTGTACAGGTCATACTTCCAAGGTCATGTATGCATCACGGCGTCTTGCATATCACACAGATCTCAGCTATTATTGGTCATTATTGTCATGATTTGTCCGTATTTCGTAGTATTACCAGAATGTACCTGCGATACTCTGGAATGGAGATGAGGTCATGCAAATCTATGATCTCCAGGTCTGAAGATCTGACCCTTAAGTCTTAAAAGAGAAAAGATATACGACATACTCCGTATATGTTTGTATAATACCACTAATAAATCGAAATAGATCCATAACTGTGAGGCATCGCATATAAGTGGTTGGACCCTGCTTTGCTCTTTGATCGCCAATAACTGCCCTTTTTAGGGTCAATGCGGGGGCATTTTGTTTCGGAAAATAATATCCCCATTCCAATCAAGGGGGTACCTTAAGGAGACTTGTCTCTTCCCTGACTCCGCTACCATGCAGCAAGTATCTTTCAGGTACCCAGCAGGTACCCGAGTTCCCAAATCACATCTTGTTTTTTTAGAAAAGGAATGCTCGGAGAAACCTACTACTTTGTATGCAATTTAAATATTTCAATACTTTTGAAATATTACTTTGTATTTAATATTTGTATTTTGTACTTTGTACTTCGTATATCTGGTTCTTCTCTCCTTGGCAAAACATAACTCGGCATCTTCCTTCATTTTCTCCGGGAGCTCTATTCGTCTCCCTACTTTGGATAGGACCCTTACGAAATAACATCCACCAGCCCCATTTTCGCTTGGTTCTCACCGAGACTAACCTCATTCTCTTCACTTAAAGAACCCTAGTAGGTATTGCGGGGACCCGTTTCCCTGGCTTTGGCCTCCGTTGACAGCCTTTTATCAGTTAATCTCCCACCCTTTTTTTTTATTACCTCCTTTCCCCGTAATGAACTTGCAATACGCCTGCTCTCGAACATTCTGACTTTGAGGGCCTCCGCGGTCACTCTCGCTGGACATATAAACACCCCCCTGGATATGGCTTTCAACCGGAGCCTCGGGTCCCTGGCCCTGTTGGTGATATTGCTACAAACTGTATCGGCTCAGTTCTGCTCGTTCTGGAATAACGGATGCATCGACTCGATCGCTCAGACCGCCATTCGCTTCGACCTCAAACCTCTTTTCCCGGACCCTGTTACGCTCTACTATGGCTTCGATGCCAGTTCCTCCGGCAAGGGCGTAGGGCCCATGACCAAGACGGCGTTTTGGCTGGGATATCAAAATAAGAACATCAATATGAATGCTGTCGACTCGAATCGCACGTCGGAAATCGGCCTCAGGATCGGTAATTTGACCGGTACCCCTTCCGGGGGGAACAATGGATGCGATGGGATTTGGGGAGATGATTGTTCCCGTGATCTTAAGACTGCCCTACAAAGGGGCCTGTATCGTCTTGCTGTATCAGGCGAGACCTATTCAAAGCCTCTTGAGGTCGTTCTCAACAAGATGTTGATGAGGAAGGCGCCGCCATTGCCTAATTGCCCGCCGCCCACTCTTGACGTCGCGTCCATCCCAGTCCAGGGTATGTCAATTATTATCATTATCATTTTCTAGTGTGCATATTCTGACCTTTCTAGATTTCGCTATAGAACGAGTCCCCGATCAGAACGTCACCATCATGCCACCTGGCTCGGGCTCTTGGCCTTGGCAGGTCTGGTACCTCGATAACATGAACGCCCACAACCAAGCTTCCCAAGTGGCAGTTGGCATCATCAGTCGCGCCCCTTCCTATAATAGTATACCACCAGACAGCCCAGATGATATCATGGTTGAACTTGTCTGTGTGCAGGCTCCTTCTACTGGATCTTCCAAGAGCTCTCATGATTAAACTGGATTGCGGAGGTCGGTCTTCTGGTCGTCCTCGGATTTTTACTTTATTTTTTTTTTACTATTCTCTGGGTGGCGGGTGCGATACACTACGCCCTTTGGCCTCTGGCGCTTGTCGGTACTTAACGTGCAGGTTTTATCTACGTGGTGACATTCCATCGCGAGAATATGCGAGTCCGAGCAAGATTGCAGGGTACCCATTTTCTTGGTACAAGTACATTTTACTGGGTTGAAACGGCAACATACATCAGCGCGCCAATTTTTCTCTATGTGCCTACGGCGCCGTCCTCGTCACTTTCAATACTTGGCAAGTTCCAGATCAACAAGTACAAAGTCGATTGACTCAATGCCTTGAAGAAATTTAGCCGACCAATATCTATGCTGTACAGCGACATGGCAATACATTTGATACCTGTCGCTCGCCTCTCAGAATCCACCAAATTACTCTTCCATCACCATGAAGTCAAGTCTGGCATCCGACAATCAAAACGTTGGTAAACTCGACTGGTTTTAAATTCTCGAATCTCCGGAATTCCAAGACTCCACCAACAGTACGCCACCCGTCTGACTCCCAAGCTTCGCAAGCCCAAGATAATTCTCGTCTCACATGTATCCCGTTATCACCATGTGCATTCTCAGGGGCATTGGGAAGGTTCAGCAGGATAGTGTACTTCCTGTGCGGGATGTCCTAAATTGGTGCGAAGAGATCGTTCCGGTCTCCTCGAGCTAGCTGCACTAGCGCCGCTTTCCCGCCCCGATACACCTTCGGTCGCGTTGTTCTATATTATATGGACACACAGAACAGTGTCGGACGCTAAGTCTTCTCGGGATAACTTGATGGGCAACTAGACTTGTGGGATTTGGAATTGCGATACTATTGTTTCAATGTATCAGAACCAAAATGTCTTGGAGAGACAGATCTTTGAATGAAGATTTTACTAGATAGCAAGCCACTAGAGCTCGGAATAACATGATTGTTCTAGCAGGGATCGTTCGCTTTCCACTCAGATACATCATCTCCACCACGTGCATCGTACTTGCATCAAGTCTTTACCCCCTCACTGTTTTTGTTTTTGTTTTTTTTTCATTCTGTTTGTTCTTTGTTCCTCTCTCAATTCTCCTCTAGTTTATCTCATTTTCCTGTATCAATTGGGCATTCGGGTTTATTCAAGATGCAAGTCCTCTTGGTCCTCCTCGGGGCCACAAATCTGATCTTGGATCCTGCATTTGCTGCTTCCCTCCCAGGAGACTCGTCCTATGTGGCTGCTGCTGGCTTTCCCACCTCTGTGTTCTCGTATGATAACTGATGATATTTCGGCGGCTTAGGTACATAGATATGCTAATGTGAATGGCAGATCCTACTACGTTTCCCCGGCTCAGCCAACCAAACAACCCCAGCCGATCCTCTATGACCCGGTGTTGGACCTCACTTTTCCTTACGAGTTGACGGATCCTGACAACATCCCGGACAATCATGATGAGGTCTACTTCCCTGTGCCGCCAACTCATATGCCTGCCAAGAAGGAGTATAAGCTGGTTCAGGAAGCAGTATCCAAGGTGACCAACATCATTAAGTCAAATAGCTTAGAAAACAACTGCACCAAATGTAAGAACGCTCTAGCTGCAGCGAAGTCTGCGGCGTTGCATGCCCCAGCTCTTGTTCCGGATGCCATGATCAGCCTGTGCAAGGAATTTCGCTTCCATGACAATGAGACGTGCGAGCAAGATTTTGCCACAAACACCTTTGGTGCTATCTGGACTCAGGTGTTGGCATACGCTGATATAGAAGGATTGGACGGTCAATACATCTGCCATTCTCTCAGCAGCAAGTATTGCAGCATGCCAAATACCAGCCCACTTGATACTGCCAAGCTTTTCCCCAAGCCCAAGCCTGCAGGTGCCCGGGTCCCCAAGGCAAGTGGGGAACGGGTCAAGGTACTACATCTGTCGGACTTCCATCTCGATGCCCGGTATGCTGTCAGTTCCGAAGCAAACTGCAGCTCTAGCCTCTGCTGTCGGAGTGACAACTTCAACGACCTTTCTGAAGACAAGCCACTGCTTTCTGCCTCTGCATATGGCTCTTTCCTGTGCGACACCCCATATGACTTGGGTCTTGCTGCTTTGCAAGCTGTGGGTCCCCTGACTGGAACTGGAAAAGGAAAACATGACGAGCACTTTGCATGGACACTCTATACGGGCGATCTGGTATCTCATGATCCGGCATCCCAGATATCCAAGGCGTTGACCCAGTATACGGAGACCAGCATTTTTGGCATGTTCAAACACTATCTCTCCGGCCCGGTCTTTGCAGCACTTGGAAATCATGACACCAGTCCTTCAAACATCGATTCTCCTCATAATCTCCCTGGGCGTCTGGGGGAACAGCAAAGCTGGAACTATGAGCACTTAGCTGGACTGTGGCGCCACGAAGGGTGGATTAGTCGTGAGACCGCCGAGGAAGCGAGAACGCATTATGGCGGTTACTCTGTCAAGACACACTATGGACTGCGTGTCATTTCATTCAACACCGGTATGTTGTCATCAACCCGTTTGGTATTTGCCTACTGACTCTCGTAGACTTTTGGTACCGGAATAACTACTTGACTTTCATCAATTCCACTAACCCCGATAACTCTGGAATATTCTCCTGGATGATCAATGAACTCCAAGAGGCCGAGGATGCCGGTGAGCGTGTCTGGATAATCGGCCATATCCTCAGTGGCTGGGACGGATCCAATCCACTCCCCAATCCGACCGATCTATTCTACCAGATCGTGGAGCGCTACTCGCCCCACGTTATCGCTAACATCTTCTTCGGACACACCCACGAGGATCAGTTCATGGTTTACTATGCCAACAACGGGACTGTGCAGGATGCAGACAACGCCCTCACCACCGGTTGGATCATGCCCAGCATAACCCCTCTAACAAACCTGAACAGTGGCTTCCGTGCCTACGAGGTCGACACAGGCGACTTCAACATCTACGAAGCATATACCTTCTACAGCAATGTGTCGGACTATCCGGCGCTGAAGCACACGGGTCCGACCTTTGAGATTGAATATTCCACTCGCGAAGCATATGGACAGGCAGCTGGGTGGGACGAGGATGCGCCGTTGAACGCGACCTTCTGGCATCGGGTTACCGAGGCCATGGAGAAGGACATCGGGCTTGTCAGTTTGCATAACACTTACCAGGGGAAGCGGAGTGTCAAGAGCCCCAGTTGCACTACTGCCGCATGCCAGAAGGCTAAAGTCTGCTACATGCGCAGTGGTAGTGTTGCATTGGGTAGTCAGTGCCCTCAAGGGTGAGTTGCATATATGAGTGGATCTAGGATATATAAATGCTGACCTTTCTAGATATGGATCTGTGCAGAGCGCCTTTGAGGAAAGCTAGTAAAGTGCATGCGAACCGGCGCTAGTAGGGCTCAGTTGCACTACAATTCATATTTCTATCATTGATCCATGCAAGTTCGTATTCCTATATTGTAGTCCAAATGGGAAACCTAGGATCTTCCTTATTTTGGATACAAAGCCAAGATTGAATGCCCAATCATCAAAAACGGGTTAACTCATACTGTATGATTTAGAGTGGTGCTAATAACGCCAAGTCGAGGGTTACCTCTGGAACCACGTTTCTTTTTCCACTTTTTTTTTTTTGCTTTTGGATATTCTTATTTTGTACTTTGAAGTCTTTTTGTCTGATTTTAAATTATCTCAACTTATCGTACAAGTTCCCGAGGTCCTCCAGTTATATAAGTAAATGCACCATTAGCTGAACTCGTGTCAATGAGGGGAAACCCACATAGTGGAAACGATAGACATACAATGGAATGTAGATCTGTTGTAGCAGAATTGACAAAAAATGGAATGTTGAAGGGAAAAAAATTACAAGTCAAGGAAATGGAGGCCTCATTCAATGAAAAACTCAGTCAATAACTCATCATTGACCAAAGTGCAACCTTTCATGATTTCATCTCTAATATACTACAGAGCTGTTACATCCAATAGAGCCCAATAAGGCCGTTCATTCCCGAATGCATGACGTAGGGTCGAGCTTTAGCTTTTGGGGATTTTTGCTTCTGTCATCACTGGGCTCCGGAGCATCCGATTTATAACCTCGTCGTTTCCCCAAGGCATTTCTATACCGTTGAACTTATAGGCTGTTCTTCACTTTCGCATCCTATACCTCTGCAGCCGCCCGCCCCTCTCGCGATCTACGCATCTAATCAACCTCCAATCTAGATTTTAATCTAAATCTACAAAAAAATGGGTCTCAGAGCTGTGCAGTTGGGCCTCAGAGCCTGGGAGGTATGTGCGATCGCAGCGATGAGAGCTTAAAGCTATTAATACTAACTGTACTCACAGTTCCTATGGTCACTGCTCATTATGGCCCTCGTCGGTAACATGATCGCCGAATCCTTCTCCGGGAACCCTGGGACGGTAAACTACGCGATCTATACATCAGTGTTCTCAATGTTCACGCTGTTCTATCTGATCCCGGCCTCGTTCAACATCGACTGGTCCGGCCACCCGCTTATCATGATCATCATCGACGCTCTGAACTGCATCTTCTTCTTCTGCGCTGCCATCGCACTTGCTGCCAAGCTCGAATGCCACTCTTGCAGCAACCATGTAAGTTAAACTATCACATCAGATCGCAGATCGTAGTGAACATGTGATGTGAGAGTGAATTGACGCTGACCCCCTCTCTAGGAGTACCTCAAGCACAACGAGATCACCAATGGCTCACACAACATGTCTAAGCGCTGCCGTGAGGCCCAGGCCTCTGTTGCTTTCCTCTGGTTCGCCTGGGCGGGCTATATGGCCTCCGTGATTGTCTCTCTGTTCATGTCCCGTTCTGCTGGCACCAGCTCGCGTGGCCGCACTGGCAGTGGCCGCCGAAACACCCCCAACATGGCCCAGGTTTAAATGTACCTTTGTCATGAAAGACGGGTGCGCGTGGTGTAGGCTGAGTCTTGAGCTTAGTTGTTATCGCTCTCGTCTGTTACCGTTATGTACTACCTGGTAATTTGGGATACTATTGGATCATGGTTATACTTACGGTTCTGGTTATGGTTCTGATTAATGGCGTTGAGGGGGTGATGTCGGTATATGGTTGAGGTGTTTGTACGATCTATGAGCTTGGGGCTTGGTCTTGAAGTTTGATGTCTTCCATGATCTCATGCCTGCAACGATTCGACGGAAAACGCTGCCTCTCTTATTCTCTGCTCGATCACGAGAGGGATGCTCTGATACTTTATGTGGTATTACTTATTTCATTAATAATATTTGTTTTGGTCAGTGGCCCTCGGTTTCTACCTGGCATTGACTATAATCTCGATTTTTTGCGATTCCTAGAACGTTACTGCCATTGCTGTATGTCTTTTAATTTAACATTGTGACTTATTTGTCACTGTATATTTGCTTACCTTTTGCAAAGCCCTGGAACTCAGGCACTCTTGTAGCTACGCCTTGATGGGACGAGTTAAAAAGAGCGCATACCATGTTCACTCTTGGGCTCTACGCTATGTAGGGGCCAAAGGGAGAGGAGGGAGAGAGTTGATTCCTATGGGAAGAGGCGAGCTTCCAACTATCTAGACTAGCAAACGAGGGGTTGATGCCTGAGGCATCAATGGCAACCTAAGGCCACCACAACATTCACCTACGTTGCATGACAAGACGTATCTCAACCCACCATCCACACTGGGTGGAATAAATATTGCCCTATTTGTCCCTAAGATCTATTTCTAGATGGGTCATGTAAGCTGTCGGCACCTATTTTTCAAACTTATTCATCGATATCACTCTTGTAGGCCAAATAATGGCATGCTGCGAAGTAAAACCTTTGTTTCTTCACTTGTAGCGGTGCTTTAGGGGTACACCCTTGTTGTTTTGAGAGTGCAGAGATATGACTCTATATCCAGAATGTGCAAATTACCATGTCGTTTACCTAGGTTTCTATCAATCATGGTGCGGCTGGCATGTATATATTTTCATCACATATATATAGCAAAACATACCACGTCGAAAATCAACAAATAAAAAAAGCCCGACCGTGAAATTATCCTATTTCTATCATAGTAAGGCTCTAAATCCGTGCGTGAGGCTCTGATATTAGCTTTCTAATATTCCTACTTCGTACATGATGCATGGTTTCAGTTAGCTCGTAGATGGACGTACTTCGTCACGGAAACGTGGGTTGACTCATTCAAAGCCCCGTGCGCAAAACACAACACAAACCTGAGATAATAGAAACTTTTAACGGAAACAACTATCCTTCCATCAACTCCTTGAATCTCCGCGTTTATATTGTCAAGCTAAGGCCTAGCGGGGCAAAACTCCCCTCCGCTCCACCCAAAGAATTTCTCCAGAGCTTCCGCCCCGACACTTTTCTCCATCCTTTCACTTCACATCTCCATCAATATGCCTATCCAGTAAGATTCTCCTGCGGTTACCTTATATTTGCGATTACTGACCCCATCATCAGCTACCTAATTCTGCTCTCCCGACAGGGCAAAGTGGTATGCCTCACCCCAACTACGTAACACCTGGCCAAAGCCACCCCCAACTGACAACATTTCTCTAGCGCCTCGCCAAGTGGTTCACTACTCTCTCCCCTAAGGAGAAGGCCAAGATCATCAAGGATGTAACTCAGCTGGTACTGTCCCGCCGGACGCGGATGTGCAATTTCCTGGAATACAAAGGTGGCTTTCTATCCCCGCACGAACCCCCTTACGCCGACAAGCTGGCATTGGACTAACAGAGACTGTATTACTAGACTCGAAAGTCGTCTACCGTCGATACGCTTCTCTCTTCTTCATCGCTGGCTGTGCCTCGACCGACAATGAGCTGATTACTCTCGAGGTGGTGCACCGCTACGTTGAGCAGATGGACAAGTACTACGGCAATGTCTGCGAGTTAGACATCATCTTCAACTTCCAGAAAGCATACTTTATTCTTGATGAGTTATTGATTGCAGGGGAAATGCAGGAGACTAGCAAGAAGAATGTTCTTCGTTGTATCAGTCAGCAGGACAGTTTGGAAGATATGGAGGTGAGTGACAAGTTTCTTTTCTTTATTTCCATTATGGCGTTTGTTTTGGCGCCTTCTTTTATCATAGAAGAAAGAATCTCTATATTAGAGGTGCTACCTGGCTATATTTGGGCTTCCCTTGATGCATCCATCCCTTTTCTCCCCCCAGCCATGGCCAAGTTTCAGCCGGGCTAATTATTCCCCAGGTTGAGGAAGATGTGGTCACCAAGATCATGTAACACAAGCAAGCAGGATTCTTGCTCCTTTTTATTCGTGGCGTACATAGGAGTCAACATTCACCATACTAATTCAATACAACGTTGTTTCACTCAGGCCTCGGAAGATATAACACGCAATCTGGAAAGAGCCGGCCTCTGAATTGACGCTTTCCATGGTTTGACTGCTCGTGAGGTCAGTGCGGGTTCTCACTGGACCACGCCTTCCACACGTGACTGTTTTCGGATACCCTCCCCTCCCAGACCGATCTTCCCCCCCCCCAAAGGAGACCATCCCCTCTTGCTTCATTTTCATCTTTTTTGTATACTTCTCTCATTTGGCAACCATTGGTGCTATAAGAACTGCGATCTGCGCTGTGTAGTTCGTGTTGCTTCCCCTTATCTCAATCCTATTTGCAGTTATCGCCGATCGACATCATCGCATCTCCACCTCCGGTTCAATCACCCGTTGCGTCAATACCGCCCTCCCCCGTCTATCTCTCCCCCTCTCTTTCCATCCATCTCTCTATATCAGAAGGGAGATTCGAGTCCGTTTCTTCAAATCTCAGACCGTGACACGTCATCTCAGCCTGCTTATCGGCTTATCTCGGGATCTCCACTACCCCGGTTTAACCTCACGATGAAGGTAAATTAGGCTGTCGCATTCCCAATGTGTCTTGCTGTCAATTTACTCACTCTCCATGTGATATAGTTTCTGCCCCTTCCAGATTTCGAGGACGTGACAAGTTCCCTCAATTTCGACACGACTGACTGCCATATCGTCGGCGGCTGTGATATTTACACCACCAAGGCGGCACGCTCCGATCGGAAACTCTACAATCATATTGAACAGTCGCTCGAGGCTCAATATGAATCGGTTCTTCGATTTTCGGCTTCGCTGTCACCCCCAAACGCGCACGATGCGGCCGAGACCCTCAACCTATCGCGATCTAGCCCGTTTGGACCCCTGAGCGACCATTCGAGCCGACGGACCTTTGCCTATCTAATCGCCACTCTGAATGCAAGTCACCCGGATTACGACTTCTCAAACGTCCTGCGCCCCACTGACTTCCGACGCGAACGGAGTTTGAAGCGCGTCATGAATACAGTCGACTCGACGCTGCTCAACCTGAGGCCGCGTGAGAACACTACCATGTCTCCTGGATCTCCTGCGACACTTTCTGGATCGTACACAGCAGGTTCATCTTCTGCATGGGGCCCACGGGTGTGGAAAACGATAGATGAACACATGTCACTCAAAGAGTGTTCGATCTACTCATATTCACCAGAGGAGGACCCATCCGATGCCGATGATGGGGCTATCTGGAGTCTACATTTCTTCTTCTTCAACCCAATTCGCAAGCGTGTCTGTTACATCTTTCTGCGCGCGATTCCTATACTTAGCCACACCCCAGACGAGTTGGCAACTACACCCACTGGAAAACGGACCTACGATGACGACGGATATCTTACGCCGGACCTCAGCTCTAGCAAGCGTGCCAAGTTCTGGTTTGGAGAACGCGCCAAATTTGTCGCCAGCGATAGTGATGATGACATGGACCGCCCATCAAAGCCGATTCGGACGACTGCGGACGACTGGGACACTTATGTGATCAGCGACGATGACGAGCATCTGCCATCCAGCCGTCGGGGAGTCCGGGCGATGAGTGAGGAAATTGCGGACTCAATGGAAGTCTAAGATATACCAAATGATTTGGCTTGTTTGCTTTTGTTTTGTTTTTTTTTTTTTTAAATTTTCGTTTCTTGTTTGTATTCTTTTGGCCCCGTTGATCGGGTATGATCTTTCTAGCCGGAGGTGTTGGGTTAATCCTTTGCTTTTTTTTGACTGGCGCAATCAACTTGCATAGTTTTGTTCACGAGGGCGTTGTTGAACGGACAATATTGACATCCCCCTCAACTTTCTGTGACTTACTGCCTAATATCACCCATGTCTATTTTTTTGGATTCGTGCAGGTTGATGTATATTTGTTGGTCTATTAATTCTATGAAGTAAGCCTTTCTGTTTCTAAAAGTTCCTAGCATTCGTCTCAAATGCTATCATTGACCCTAGCTCGACAGCAAAACAGTCTTCCAGATGCCATGAATAGTGCTGTCTGTGCTTTCATGACTCCGAAATCGATGATACCACAAACGAAGCTTGCCCTGCTCGGGAAATCGTTCAATATGAATAGTATCAACGCGGGCAGCCATAGGAATCACATCCTCCGGTGTCAACCCTGCAGACTCTTCCTTGATCAAGTGTTCCAAAGTAGCAACACTACCCGAAGACGTCCAGATGCCTTCTCGCCGCCGACGGCTGCGGATCAAGTGCAATGCCTCTCGGCGCGTATGCCAGTCGCGGCACTTCTGAGCAACGAAGAATATAGCTAGCATAACCGTGATTTTGGCAGCAAATTGTGGCATCCGCTCACTTGACTGATAGTATATCTTTCCCAGTTCATTGACCCGATGGAAATGCGGGAGAAGGGAGTCATATGCCATCTCCCGTTGCTCGGGTCTGTTGGTCACATCGACCAGGATATACGTAAGTTCGGTCCATATCTCGATCAACCTCAAGGAATGACGGTCTTGTGACGATAGCATTTCTGCATAGTGCATGACAAAAGTCTCCAAATGGCTCTTCCACATTTGAATTCTCTCTACAGCAGTCTCCTGGATGCCATCGTTCTTGTTGAGCAAACAAGCCGCATTGACCCCGAATCTCCGATCAATACTCTTACCAAGTCCCCGTGGATAATACGCCGCAACAATCCACCCCAGAATAACAAGCAAACCACTCCCCGGCTCTAATGCATCCACAGACCCATATACCTGCCGGTTAGTTGTGATCAACCGCGAAAGTGACATCTGCTCTGCTTGCATATGCGACTCCGGATCTCGAAAAGTACACTGATGCAGCTGCAATTCCGCGAATGTCCGCATCAGAATGGGACCAGAGGGACTCTTGTCAAATCCGTTCTTCTGCCACTCCACCAGCAGCTGGTACCCGGACTGCACGTGCGACGTGGCGGCCTTGGTATCCTCCTGAAAGAGAGCGAGCGAGACCAATACCACGCATGTTACAAGCACTGCTTCTGTGTGCGCGCTACTGGTAGCATGTGTGCGCAAACTCTGGCGTAGGGATGCAATGGCTTTATTACATTGCCGTAGAGGGAAAGATATATCGTTTTCAAGGATTAGATTCGATGGAAAGGTTGAGAGTGCAACCGAACAATCGTCGGCTTTAGCCCCAGACCCAGTTAGACCTCGCGCATATCGCCAATGCATGGCGCTCATGGCAATAGTTGCATGCTGTACTGCTGGTTCTTGCTCGCTGACCTGGTGAACAAGCTTTTGCCAGAAATCATCTTTGACGTACCCCGCGCACTCGCGCGACGTATACCGTCGGAATAAATCGAGGTACCACCGCTCGCTGGGAGTGAGGTTGACCTGGCTTGTGTCGACTAGCCGGCGAGCGATTGATCCATATAAAGGGGCTGAGGTTGAGAGCAGAGAGGGTATGACTTGGTTTTGTTTGCGGAGGGCTCGGGTGCGTTTATCAGGTGTTTCTTTGTACTCGCATTTGCTCTTGTTCCTCGTACACATGAGACAGGACGGGCGGGATTCGTCACATTTCTTGTGGCGGATTCTATTTGCGTCTTCTTATTAGCGGCAGTCCAGGGGTTCGCTCAGTTTGATACTTCTGCTTGCTTGTGGATGATGCGTACTTGCATGCCAGACAGCCGGTGCGTACCTTTGGATGGCTGCTTCTTGTCTTTCGATCCATTGTGAGTTCCGGGATCATGGCCGGGAGATTGGGGGAGGGGGCATATAGATCAGATACGTGGTCCGTGCATTGGGGAAAGCTGTCCATTCTCTCTCCCTTCCACTTCATCATCCTCTCCGTTTAATTATATTCATACAATTCAAAGGATCCATTATGGCCGACGAAGAGGAGCGCATTAAAGCTGAGAAGCTGGCTGCAGCCAAGAAAAGGGTAATTCCTTGCGAGTGACGGATGGCATTGTTTTGATCGCTAACTTGACTGTTGTGTTCAGGTTGCCCAGCTCCAGAAGAAAAAGAAAGCCAAGAAGGCTGCCAGCACTGAAGCAGACACACCCAAGGAGGCAGATATCCCAACAGAGACAGTACCTGCTGAAGATGCCCCGAGCCCAGAACCACTGCAGGCAGACGCCCCCGCAGAGGAGAAGCTAGACATACAAGATGAGCCGGCCTTGCAACCCGAGGCTGCAGCCCCCGAACAACCAGAGGAATTAGAAGAACCAAGTGCGCAACCTGCCACTGATACAAATACCGAGTCTCCTACCGAACCGATGCCTCCAGCGCCCACATCTCCTGATCCAGACGCCGAGCCGCTGCCAGTTCGGCTCGATACACCCCGCGCCAGCCATGGCCGACAACCCTCCCTGTCAATACAGTCAAAGATGCGCTCATCTTCATTCCGCAAGACTTCCGTCTCACAGGGCAGCGTCTCTCCCTCTCCGTCTGCTACTCTCAAGTCTCCCGCACAATCATTACCGCCCCTAACCGGGGACGGGGAGTCGGTTCACGAAGTGTTCCGCAAACAGTCTACTAGGATTGAGGAGCTTGAGAAAGATAATAAACGATTGGAGAAGGATCTCTTGGATGCAACTATGCGCTGGCGCAAGACTGAGGAGCAAGTGGAGGATCTGCGGGAAGCGAGTGTCGATGGCGTGGAGTTGAGGGAGCAATTGAAGAAGGCAGAGGAGAAGGTTGCAATTATTGAGTCATTGGTATGAAACCTCGTTTCTTGTGATAGCCATCTTTGCTAACCTGCGGAATAGAAAGAGGAAATTGCTTCCCTCCAGCGACAGAACTCACAGCTCCAGACCCGATCACATCGAAACACAACTACAACGGAGTCACCACCAGCCGACCTTATTCGTCAGCTCGAGTCCAAGTCGGCCACTATTGAGTCCATGGAGTTGGAGATCTCAAATCTCCGCGCCCAGGTCGCTTCCCAGACGTCCTCTAACGATGCACACGAGTCTCAGGTCGCAGCGCTGGAGGAGAAGGTTTCAAAGAGTCAATCGGCACTAGATCAATCCCAGCGTGAACTAGCAGACATCAAGCAGGCATTGACGCGGGCCTCCGAGAAAGCTGTCAAGGAAGGCGTCGACAAGACATCTACCGAAACGCTGATCAAGAATCTCCAGCGCGAGGTCGAGGAGTACAAAAACGAAAAGAGCGAATCGGAAAAGAAAATCGAGACGCTAGACAAGAAACTACAGGCGATAGGCAATCTTCACAAAGAAACCGAAGCCCGGCACCAAACACGGTTACGCGAGAGCGAGAAATCCGACAAAGAAATCGCTGTCATGCGCAAAAAGATCGCCAGCATTGAAAACGAGAATCTCCGCCTACGCGAAGAGAGTGATCGGATTCGGACTCGCCAGGTCGGTGGAGGGGCTGACGATGACGCCCTGGACGAGCTTGAGGACGAAGAACGCCAGCGCCTTGAGCGCCGCATCCGCGACCTGGAAGGCGAGGTCTTTGATCTGCGCCGCGGAGTCTGGCGAGAGAGGCGCCAGGAGATGGAGTACTACCCGGATGATGGACCCAGCCCTGGTTCCGGCGACGCAGCCAATGCATTCGACGACGTCGATCTCGTGGGTGGACGACCTGACCATGCCCGTCGCCGCAGCATGGCCCAGCAACAGCAACACTCGTCTTTCTCCACGGTGCTTTCTAGCGGCCTTGCTGCCTTTACAGGAGCTGCTGGCAACCGTGCCCGAGCTTCGTCGTCTAACCCATCTCATCACCCTGGCACCCGTGGTAGTCTCGAGCTTGTTTCCGAAGAAAACTTTGATGACGAGTTCGATGAAGATGCATTCGCGCGCGCGCAGGCCGAGGAGGAAGGCCGTAAGCGTGTTGAGTGGATGCGCGACATCAAGAGCAAGCTGCGTGACTGGAACGGCTGGCGTCTGGATCTGGTCGACAGCCGTGCCGGTGCAGAAGGTGCTGGCGTAGGCATGGGCGAGATATTCGAGGTCTAGGTTCTTGTGTTTACTTTACTTTACATCATGTGCGCGGGATGTACGATCATTTACTATATACCACGAGGTGGAGTTGACCAATGAACTTTGATGCAGGGAACTCCTGATGCAATTGACTTAGGATATCTGATGGAACACCGATATGATAAGACATAGAAAACATTTGAACCAAAATAAAACCAAAAATATCTTAATCCATCTCAATCCTGAGACTTGCCCGTCAAATAGCCCTCAGATGACCTATTCTTCCTACGGCCCCAGATGTCGCCAGCCCAACTAGTAATTTGATAAAGCCAGCCACCAGTAACAAGCACGCCTGAGATGGTGTTGATAACCCGAATCATCAGCGACAAAAAGCCCGCCCTCTCCTCGCTGACCAGCAACAGGATCGGCTCAATGTTATACTTGAAGAAGATGCCGGGTACAACCATCGGCGACTCAGGGAGGACGGTGGACTGACTCGTTGCCGCGTACTGGTTCGTGAAGACTGTGTTACGACCGTACCGCGCAGTCGCAGTGTCCGGCGAGCGCGTGTACGCGTCTAGCGCGCCCTTGCCTTGGCTGTACAGCGTCGGCACAATGGAGAGGAAGTACTGGAACTTGTAGTAGTGCTCCTCGCTCTCGGCGATAGTCTTGTCGAGCGGGTTCTGCAAGGTTGGGTAATGAGGCCCGAAAGAGAGCTCCGTGATAATGTGGGAGAAGTTGAAGGCTGGGGAGCTGTTAGCGATGTTGTAAGTGATAGCGCGTGGGAGAACACATACACTTGTGATCCAGGTGCGGCGCGTTCTCGCGATACCCGTGGCCGCGCGCGGTGATATGGAAGTCACCCTGCACCTTGTTTCCCTCGAGGCTTCCGTAAATGCGACAGGCGTCTGGGACGTCTCCGCGGCGCATACGCGGGCCTTTGGCGAACTTGCGGCGCGGGTTATGGCGCACCTCGCCGAGGACGTGGCGGACGTGGACATCAGCCTCTTGCTCGGCTAGACGGTCGCTTTCTTCGTGGGAGAGGGTCTGGTATTCGTGGACGCCATCGTTGGTCTCGTAGTTGCGCTTCTGCATCCAGAGGAGCCAATTTGTGTTGTCGCGTTTGAGGAGGTCGCCAGCTAGGATACGGTCGCCGGCTGCATCTTGGATGTTGACGCGGAGCTGGTCGCAGGGCATGTGCACAACCACGTCGAGGTTTAGCTGGAGCTCGTGCGAGACGCCCTTTTCAACGCTGAAATGGTAGTTTTCGGTGCCGCGCCACCAGGTCTTGAACTCGGACCAACTGAAGATCGTGCATATGAGGAGGATTAGGACGGTCCATTGGCCGCCGGTGCGGGTTGGGGTTGTGTAGGAGGGCTTGGTTTTGGCTGGTCATGAACGTGAGTAACTCTAGATGCTTAAACTTCGAGGTATACTCACGAAAGGCGTCGAAGGTCTTCAGCGCAGCCAAACTGGACTTTTCCCCGAAGGCATCTTCGTCCAGACCCTTAGATTCGAACCCATTCATTGCGACTCAATTACCCATGAAGGCCAATGGAAGTTGTTGTCGGAGAAGTGGAGTAAATAAGATAAGATGAGGCCAAGTAGCCCGATTGCCCAGTGGGGAATGCCTGTCTTTTGTACATCGATCTTTCACCCCTCAAAACAAATGACCACTCCTGTCATGTCCTCTTGATCGTAATTGAAGGTCATTTATCATTATAACTTTATCAATCTTCAGAACAATGCTTCGATATGGCTACATCTGGAATCCACAAATGCTATCCGCTTGCTGCGTGTAGAGTTTCTGGAGGAACAAGAACGGCCATGGAATGATTCCGACTAGAATATCTACAAGGACGATATTTCCACATTATGTCTTCAAGTTTCAAAAATATCAAGTATGTGGAGGAGAACTCCACGCTGAAACGGTCCCAGACAATTTCCCCCCACTCCAGCTTCACAGCCACTGTATATCAAGGTGATGACCTTTGATCTCTGCATTGAACCATTCAACCAGCTCGATCTTCTCGGTGCACGTCGTTGCGCCTTCCAGCACCCCACTCTTTGCAACAGCGCTTACCGTGGCAAATAGCTGTTGCATTGCCAGGTTTCGACCAATGCATGCTCGCGACCCGAGGCCAAAAGGAAATGTCGCTTTATCCATGATCCGCCTTGCTTGTTCGTCCTGTTGTCCTTCCACATGCCCCGGCATCCATCTCTCGGGACGGAATTCAAACGGCCCCGGGAAAATGTCCGGATTGTGGTGGAACACATATGCAGCTGCACCCACGATCGTACCCGGTGGCAGATAGACTCCACTGACGGTGAGCCCTGCGCCCTCCGGGGATACAATCCGGGTCAGACGTGCTGGATTTGCCATCCCCAGTCGAAGACCCTCTCGAATGACGGCCCGCAAATATGGCAATGTTTGGTCACCAACATTAAGCGGGTGCTGGTTGATTTCGCTTTTCAGCCTCTGCAGCACGTCTGGACGTTGGATGAGATGAAAGAGAATAGTTGAAAGCATGACTGCGGTTGAATCTGCACCTGCGAACATGGCAGCTTTGCATTGAATAAGTGTCTCTGAATATGATATGCCTGCGGAGAGGAGTCGAAATTGGTATGTATCTCTATCAAATCGTTCAGAAGATGCGTCGGCGACGGTATACTGGTCCATAATCCCAGCCGTATATTCAGAAATACGATTCAACGACGCCGCGACTTCGGGCTTGGACAAAGTGGGACCCACCAGGAGGGAGAAGACCATGCGGAAGAGCCAGTTTGGGAAGAGTGAGAACCGGCCGAAGGCAACAATTGCCAGAACGAAGGGCGTTGCGGAAAGTTTATGTCCCTTTCCGATTGCCATTGCGCCTGATGTCGGTTCAGGAGCGCTCAAGTGCTCATCTAGCCCCCCGTAGACTTTCTTGAAGAGAAATTTGGTCAGAACATCGATGGATAGCTTTGATGTAAGATCCAGAACGTCGACCTTTCTTGTGCCTTCGCCATGGGCTCGCTGTTGGTGGGCTATATCCTTCTCCGTTTTCAAGATGTCGATAAACTTTTTCACTAATTCTGCGATTATGCCGTCATTCTCTGCCGAAGCGCGCAGTCGGCTAGGTACAAAGAGTGGAAGGACTGCCTTAGCTCGCACATCACGATACAGTGGGTCGAGGGTGGAGAATATGGTGTCGCAGCCTTCGACTCGAAAGTTGCTGTAGCGGGGATCTTTGGGTAAACCTCCATCTGCAACATAGACTGTGTGAAGGGCTTCAGGGTCGGATAATGAAACGGCATTTGGCCCGATTCGAAGTACCTGTGTGCGATACTTTCTATGATAGTACATGAGCACACGGCCCTCTACGCCCAGATAGCAGACAGTGTAGAGAAATAGGGACGAGACCCAAGCAAAACGAGGCCCAGGAATGTGTGACAGTGGCGACAGAAAGACACGATAGAGAGCCAGTGAAGTGGGTGCCAGCAGGAAAAGAAGAAAGATCTCCCACCATGAAGCCGCCACGAGTGAGGCTATACATGTCTGGAGCAGACCCATTTCGGTAGTAACACGGGGAAGACAGGCCAGTTTGAAGGGAGAGAACAAACCAGTAACTATGCAGTCAAGCTACCCTAATACCGGTGTCAGACATGATTTGTTCTCGGCCACTAGATGTCTTGAGTTGTAGCTGTGATATTAATACAGAGCCTGATTCGGGGCACTTGAAATACTCGGCGACATGACAAATTTACTCGGGGCTGCGGGTTTCGTATCGAACTCACTGAGGCTCACCAATAATGGTGGCTTGTTACCGCTAAACCTGCTGCCAACGAATAATCATAGAAGATAAGGGCAGTAGTATCCGTTGGGAGCAGCGTACGCGAAATCATTTCCGTTGCACACCTCAATACGCGGTAGCATATAAAAGTCGTCCATCTTGTCACCCCGGTCTCGTTGGGCTATTCTCAGGCACAATGTCCACCACTAACGAAGTGAACGGTTCGTATCTTCGTCTAAATGACTTCTGCAGCAATGTGGAGGTGATTGATCAATCCTCATTCTCATCCGACGGCGAGAGGATCAAGGCGCTGGCAGCAGTGTACCGCTTGATTGGCCGCTTGGAGACCCCATGGGATACTGTGGCTCGTCTCTGCATGACCGAGGTAGGATAGGACATATAATTTGGGTATCATTGGTATTTTTGCTGATAGCTAGGAGCCCGCGTTGTTTGCAAGTCTGAAGATAGCTCGAGATTTGCAACTGTTCGAGGAATGGAATCGGGTAAAGGAGGACGCCGTATGCTCGGACAAAGAGTTGGCCGATCTGGTCAGTTGTGATGCAATTCTGCTTCGTACGTTTATCACCGCCAGAGCATATATCATTACTGTCATAAATCTAACATAGATAGGACGAGTGCTTGCGCACCTCGCCGCGACGAATATGCTCGAGAACCCCGCCGATGGACAATACAAACCGACCGCGTTTAGCAAGGCCCTTCTCCAACCTGTGTTTGGAGAATGGATCAACTACCTGTCAGTAATATAGTGGGATGGCTGCAGGTGGACTTAATCAAAAAAAAGTGCTGATAGTTCACCAGATATGACTCGCTCATTCCATGCTTTCATAAGGCTCCGGAATATCTTGCACGTACGGAATACAAGAACCCAACTGATCCAAATAATGGAATCTTCCAGGATACAAAGAAATTTACGGGAAGTCTGTTTGAGTACTACGATACTCATCCAGAGGAAGGAAAGTCTTTTAACAACGTCATGGGAGGGGTGATGGCCAACCAAGCGGGTATGTTGGATATATATCCGCTCGAAAACTTAATGGGTCCTGTGGGAGACGACCAAGAAACAGCGTTGCTGGTGGATGTGGGTGGTAATGTAGGCCATGATATCAATAAGCTGCTCTCAAAAAGCCCAAGCCTGGCTCCGCGCCTTGTCCTTCAGGATCGGGAGGATGTGGTGCGTTTGGCCAAATGTCCACCGGACGTGACTGTCATGGCCCATGATTTTTTCACACCCCAGCCTGTGAAAGGTAAGTCAATTGATAAGAACGAAACGGAAAATTCATGCTGATGTGCGGACAGGAGCGCGGGCCTATTATCTCCACGGCGTTATCCATGACTGGGCCGATGCAGAAGCCGGACGAATCCTCGGCCATCTACGCGACGCGATGACAACAGGATATAGCAAGCTCCTCATCCACGACCACGTTCTCCCCGAAAGGAATTCGCATCCTCAAGCTACGGCGTATGACCTGACAATGATGGTCAAAGTGTCTGCATTCGAGCGTACCGAATCGACGTGGAGGGAACTGCTTCGGTCAGTGGGATTCAACGTGATTCGCATTTGGACCTCCCCCCTTGCGACACAGAGCGTAATCGAAGCGGAACCAATGAGCTCAGAACAGTAGGCGAATTGGAAATGGTCTTCAAGAAGCCTAGAATGGCCTCGATATTTTGGATGCTCTCTTAACGAAGATCTACGCTTCTGTCCGAGTCCGCACTATTTGTTTAGGGCCAGCAATTTATGAAGTTTCAGTGCGAAAGAAACTGCTAGTCTAATATGCCAGTGTGTTTCTTTGGTTGGGTTCATTTATTTAACTCTTCAGCGTGGAAATAGAGACCAAGTAGCTCCATAGTGGACTCGGCCTCCTAACTATTCACGTTCAGCGTCACTTTCCGAGCAATTCCAACTATAATATTCATGATTTGTGACAGCTCCTGAGGCGTGCATTCCATGTCTATAGAAATACGGCGGAGTGGCCCGCCTGATTGGCCCTGCTCCGGTGCGTTTAAACCACCACCGGCTGTTAGATCAGTCGGACCAGTCAACTCGCGGGAGGTTAGGGGACTAGATAGAAACGGTATAGCTCCTAGCTCGAGATCAGACTGTGATGTTGGGAGTTCACCTGTTGTCGGGATCGGGAACACTGGTTGTGATTGGGAACAGCAGCCTAGGGAAGATTCAAAAGGAAGAAACCCTGTATGTCCGTTGTCAAGGGACGATGCCTCCATGTGGAGCAACAGCCGATCAGTATTCCTGCTGGAGCTTTGTGCAGGGTCTTGAAGACCTGGGTTTGAGGTGGAACGCGGCACAGATGTGGACACCTCTGCAAAATTGGCATAGTCATTGTACTCTGGGAATTCGGATGTGAAAACGCTGGCGAGGATACCCGAAGTGGAGTCTTGGGACGTCCGAGTAAGCATTGGGACAGAAGACATCTCTGGATTGTAGGGGTGATCTAGAGGTGTGTCTGGTTCTTCGAGGGACGATACACGCAACCAGGCGAAGGAGCCACTAGTCTTTGGCGATCCTCCGCTCGGCATGGCTAGCCCCAGAGATTCATTTTGCCAGTGCGCATATGACTCATCTCCATCTTCCGCATCTTCTGAATCCCCATCTTCAGCATCTCCTGAATTCCCATCTTTTTCGTCTATTGAGTGAGATGTTGTGCCCGAATACGGCCGTCGGCCACCTTCCCGATTGCGCAAAGCGCGAGTGACATGGTGTTTGACTTCTTGTATGTCCTTCAGTTTGACGGAAGTCGTATAACCAGACTTTTTATTCCTTGCATTTAACGCATTGAAACGGTTCCTGATCGCCAATGTTGTCCGGCCCGGTAAAAACTTCACTGCAATGGTCGCCCAAGCTGTGCCGTGACGCTGAACTGCTAGCAAGAGCGTCTCATCCTAGGTCCGAATGAGTATGGAAACCCGAGGCGCTGATTTCATTTCACATACATCTTGTAGACTCCATTCACTAACATCGATATCTGGATTAAGTGTTTGGCTCCAGTGACTGGAGCACTGGTCCGGGTTCCGCGTGCGGACGTCTTGAGCAACTGAAACCCATTGTGACCCATGCTTTTGTACTGCAGTCCACATTCGTTCGTCTTCAGATTCCGTCCAGGAGCCCTTGACGAGGGAGCCCGAGAGAGAGTTGCACCAGCGCCGTCGGCAATCTTTATTGCTTCTTTTGGGAACACTCTTCGCGATCTCGCGCCATAGAAGGGGGCGGGATTGGTCAATGGCTGTCATACACGTGTCAGGACATATTCTAGAACTACCGCATTTGCGAGGCATCAGACGCCAGAGATGCTCACCTTCTCGGACTGCTTCCTGGAGACATGCATCTTCTTCGGCCGTCCACCGTCGTCGTTCTCGTGGCATTACGGCCACCGGAATCAGATCTTGTCCGACGTGTCAGAGGATCCGAGAACGTCAATGGCACCTTTTGGTGTGTGGATATGGATGTGGGTGCGTATTTGTGTCGGAATAAAATACGGCAGTTTTACCACTAGACTAGACCATAACAAAAACTAAGATCCATGCTTAGGGCCTAGGGGGACCATATCCCGTCTGACAATTTGTTTAACATCATAGGAAGGTATCAGGCGGAGCTGTAGGACACTATCTACAGTCATGTTTCATTAGTATTTGCAAGTACTTCAGAATGCCTCGGATCCACTTTTTTATTCTGCCAGTAGAAAACTTATGAACTAATCAAAACTAAGCAATAACTAACTAACTAGTCTGCAACCCTTGTTACTTGGCATGGCGTGATATAATCTCTGCTAGTAGAGAGGTGCAGAGAAAATGGGATCAGGAGCCTCTAAAATTAGTGTATACTGCAGACTAGACTGCAGCATCGCCTAGAAATGGGCGAGCATCCGTTGCCCACGGGGTAATCTTAGTAAGATCCCTTGACCTCGTGACAAAAATATATAGAGTAAGTAACATAAGCATAAATAATAGTTATTTTATTCTACTAATTTATCGAGTTGTATATCTATTTTAGGTGACTTTATATAATAGTAGGTATAATAAGTATACCTATAGGCAATAGGCGTTATAGACGGGTACTTGAAAATCCCTAATTGCCTACCTGTTATCTACCAGTTCTTTCAAAGAGTGCATTTCATTCAGAATACTACGTACAAGGAAAAGAAGAGCAGAGGAAGGATTGGTGGAATCAGAGAATTTGTGGATCCCACTCTGCGTTCCTTCATGCAAGTAAACTGACAGAAATCTGTAAAGCAATCAGTCAATGAATACTATGTAACTACATAGTTAACTAACTACCTAATTAGTAAAATATGACAAACGCCTTTAGCCCTGCCCAGAGATCCTGTGCGTCCACGGACACCGCTGACTAATTGTAAATACATCCATACCCCGGTAGGGTTACATCCATATGTACACTTTTGTGGAGTATGGTATGCCAGGTACTAGTGTCACATGATATTTTCGGGTACAATATCCTGTTTTCATCCAGGTTATATTCTGTAAACTAACATCACACCTTCAGATCGTAACAGGACCTAGGCTAGGTTTGGTGCTGGGTCGAGCGACGATTACTATACTATGTATCTCTGTAGGTAATATTATACGGTGTACTCCGTGCGGAGTAGTCTACGCGCGTCTAGAGTGCTTACTAGCAGGAACAGGTAGGCGGTCTATTAAGCGGTCAAAAGTGGACTAGGGTAAATGAAACGCCACTGTACGGAGTACTCCGTACCTAAATGCGTTCAACCTCCCATGGGATACGGAGTATATAGACGAACTAAGCTATGGAATTAATCATATACAAAATACTCCAAATTTAGAAAGCCACTCATGCATATATGCGTACTTTTAGTCGACTTATTTCTAAGTCGACCTGTAGCGCTGTTAAACGTATATAGTTAGTGAGATGGATGCGTATTGATCTTACCATATCAGCTTGATTTTTGTCACATAGGTATCCCTGGCGGCTAACTCGGAATGTCTTTGGCCTAAAAGAGGGCCCTACATATATAGGGAAGTCCAGGGGCCTAAAGAGGGCCGGGCATGGGTAGAACCCCTCGTACAAAGATTTGTACTTTGAGATGAAGTTCGGGGGAGTCGATTGGCAGATATTTCGAGCCAGCAACAGAACTGAACGTAGGCACCTTAGATTTCCCCAGAAAAAAAAATAGCTCCCACTATTCTTCCTTCCTGCTAGCGGAGTAACTAGGTGACGTTATACCATTAAGCCACCTTGCTGGCGCAGCCCCTTTCAGTGAATCCCTAGACGCCATCCTCGGGGTTCCCGAGTGCTACAAGCCAACCGATTCGCGATCCCGGTCGGTGGCACTCTTGCTAGTCTCAATTTGACCTAGAGTCTAGACCTCGCTAAGTCGTAGGTCACATTCCAATCTTTGAACAACTACCCCGAGGGAAAAAAAACGTACCTACCTAGTTCCATAGACCTCTATATTTGTGTTTGGGTATGTAATGTCTATATTTTACTGTAGTGTATGTAGCCGCGCATTCCTGGCGGCTTTGCGGGCGGCAAACCCATGGGGACTAAAGAAGCCATTTGGTAAGGTCGATGTGGATCTGACTGGGGTGTCGATTCTCACGAGGCTTGGTGGATATCTTTGGGCTCGACCTGATCTCGTCAAGTAAGAGAACAGCCCCGAAACACCTGTGGCGTCACCTTGGGGTTGAAGTCTGGACATTCCTTATCTGAGACTGGCCAGTCGCGGCAGGGATGCCCGCCCAAATTTACTCGGTCCCAAGTGTTGAGAGGTTGATGCACGGAGAGTGGGAAGTTATGGGCAACGCTGGACATAGCGTCACCGAGTACTCCGTACCTAGGACGCGCTTTGCTGACATTAGGCTGGAATTTCCGAGAACTCCGAAGATAAGACCGAGCCCCGCACATGGTGGCTGGCTACATATGTATATAAGCCTCTAGTGTATGCGATCACAGCGCAGCGACGCCCCACCGCAAGCTCGTAACTCCCCGCCCTTCTAATACATCCCTCGGTATTACAGTGCCAAATCAAGCGTTCTTGGAGAGAATGGCGTTCCCCTACAAACATTTCTTGGTTGTCGGCGCGACAGCTGGAATCGGCAAGGCCCTCGCGGCCCGCCTAGTGGAGTCGGGAGCTAAAGTCACCGTTGTGGGTCGGCGGCAGGAGCGTCTGGATGAGTTTGTACAGACTGTTGGGGCCGAACATGCAAAAGGCGAGCGGTTCGACATTGGAGAGCTGGCCCAGATTCCGGATTTTGTCGAAAGGTACAGTGCCTTTCCTGAGGTCCTCCCGCGGCGCTTTTCACATACTGACGGGGTGATGGGCAACAAACAGGGTGATGAAGGAATCGCCAGATATTGATTCCATTGTGCTTAATGCAGGAGTGCAAAACACGTACGATCTGGCGGATCTTGACAAGTTCAATCTGCCCGCGTTCCTTGAGGAAGTGAAGATCAACTTTTCCAGCTTCGTCTCTCTGACCCATGCTTTTTTGCCCTATCTTCAGAAGAACCCGGACCCAACTAGTTTCATCTTGTAAGATGCGTGCCTATCCGCAATCCGCCCATGGACAGAGCTAATGGGTATATTAGTACCGGCTCGAACTTGGCCATCGTTCCCGCCGCCTCACTTCCGGCATACTCAGCATCGAAGGCAGCCCTGAACGTCTTTACTCTCTGTCTGCGGGAGCAGCTGCGGCACTCGAACACCAAAGTGATCGAGATTTCCCCTCCACCGGTCCAGAGTAAGGGCAATCCTGACTCTAAAATGTTGACATATCAGTGCTGACCCTTGGCTATAGCGGAATTGCACGATTACATGGGCGAGGAAGCGGGTCGCCAGTTGGGGATGCCCCTGGACACATTCACGGAGCAGGTTTATCAGGGGCTGGCCGAGGGCAGCGATCAGATTGTAATTGGCAGTATTGGGCCAGCAGATACATTTAACGGGATCGTGAACAACCGTCGCAGTGCCTTCGAGAATCTCTCCAAGATAATGCGTGGTGGGAAGCCCTAGGTCGATCACAGATCTACGAATGATCAAGAATGTTACGTTCTTCGATGACCTAGAGAGTGGCTTGAATGAATGCTATTTATTGTTTTAGAACTCTCGGCCACCAGGGCTTTGTGTTTAGTTTCAGTTCATGTACTCTCTCCTGGTCTTTTAGTAGTTCAGATGCTCAAGGAGCGCCGCGACGGCAGCCGTCCTTGGGCCACCGCAGTGCGTGGAGCTACTGTAGAATGCAGACCCCGTAGGCCATGGAAATTGTGAGACGTCAAAGAATTGGGAACTGAGTGACCGGTCCCTTGTAAACGCGAGAATCCGGAAAAACTAATATATTCTGTAACGGGCCGGCTACCAGGTAACTATTTTTTACCGTAGCCGAGTGACTCGGTCAAACCGGTGACCCCACCATTGAAGCCCAGGCCTAGTATTTATAGTGGAACATCCCCAGGCCTATGTGATTTGCATGGAATAGAAGCCAGCGCTCAAAACCGTAACGAGATCTCTCCTCGCTCGGCATACACATCCTGAAGTCTTCTGCCTCCACCTATAAGGTTCTATGGGAAGTGGTGTGTGATATGAGTGTGGCCCCAACCCCCCAGCCCATCGCCAACCCCGATGTGGTCGATTGGGAAGGCCCAGATGATCCCATGAATCCGATGAACTGGTCTCTGAGGAAGAAAGTCGCTATCACCATCACCGTGGCACTGCTCACTATTTTAACGTACGAGACTGCTTCCCAACCCCCCTTTGTTGGTAGTTCGTGAATTAAAACAAAGGGAAATCCTAGGCCACTGGGTTCATCAATTGTAGCACCAGCTGCCTCCCAGATCGTGGAGGAATTCCAGCAGCCACAAAATGAGGAGTTGAGTGCATTCGTGGTCTCGATCTACCTTCTTGGGTATGCTTTTGGACCGATGTTCCTCGCCCCTCTATCCGAATTGTATGGACGCACCATCATCTATCATGTTTGCAATGTACTCTACTTACTCCTGACCATTGCGTGCGCCCTGGCCCCTAATCTCCCGGCATTCATGGTGTTTCGTCTGCTGGCCGGCACGGCTGGCAGTGCACCATTATCTATCGGAGCAGGATCGCTCGCGGATATTATTCCCCCAAAGAACCGCGGATTGGCAATGGGGGCGTGGGTGCTCGGTCCTGTGCTTGGACCGGTGATAGCGCCAATAGGTGCGTATCTCCCCAGAATCGGTCCCCTGACGCTTAAATCACACTGACAGAGATAGCGGGTGGATACTTGGTAGAGTCAAAAGGCTGGAGATGGACATTTTGGGTGCTGGCTATGTTGGTAAGTCCATCCTTTGGCCCAGTAGCTTGCGTACCTAGGCACTTCCTGACGGGGAAAAAGACTGCCGCATTCTCAATTCTTGCCATGCTTTGCCTACGCGAAAGTCACCCGTACACTTTGCTTCGGAAAAAGACCAAAGCCCTGCAAAGGCAGACAGGGAATCAAAACTTTCGGTCTGCCCTCGAGGCTGGGCAACCTACTTCCAGCCTCTTTATGTTTTCTATTCTCCGTCCCACGAAGATGCTATTTTTATCGCCAACCGTGTCGCTGTTGGCGCTATATATTGCAGTGATTTACGGATACTTATATCTCCTTTTTACCACCTTCCCGACCGTCTTCCTGAATGTCTACCACTTCTCTTCTGGGGATGTAGGACTAACCTATCTGGGAATTGGAGTTGGCTCCATTGTCGGCATGGTCTTTCAGAGCCTGACTTCCGATCAGATATTCCAATGGCTGAAGGACCGATATGGCTCCTCTAAGCCCGAGTATCGCCTGCCACTTTTATTCCTGTCGTGCTGGATGATCCCGGTGTCGCTCTTTTGGTACGGCTGGACGGCGAATAGAGACATTCATTGGATATCGCCTATTATTGCTACCTCCCTTATGGGATTCGGCATGGTCATCGCTTTTACAACCGTCTCCACCTACCTGGTGGATGCGTATACAGAGTACGCAGCCTCAGCTATCGCTGCAACGACCGTTCTTCGATCTGTCATTGGAGCAGTTCTTCCCTTGGCGGGTGGTCCAATGTACAAAACCCTAGGGTTGGGCTGGGGAAATTCAGTCTTGGCGTTTATCGCCCTGGCCATGTGTCCGTTGCCGTTTCTCTTTTACAGGTTTGGCGAGCAGATTCGGAAAAAGACTTTTGTTACACTGTGAGAGAAGTAGCTATATGAAATAGTGTAACTCATTAACACGCATTGGCAATTGGAAATCTCTGAGCTATTATTAATTAACTATCCTGCTCGGTCTCCTAGACGAATGGACACACCACTTTCACACTCTACTTGATGGATGCTTCAAAATCTCTACAGAAGAGCCACCGTGTCTCTGCGGCAACTCCAGTGGACATCCAGTTGTTAATCCGGTGAGGAAACAGCTTGATATGCTTTTTCAAGGACTCGTCGTGAGCCAAAATAACGAGGATATTATCCAGAGCATCCAGTTCTTGGATCTTCTTTACCGTTTCCATCGCTGCGTCGATGTCCGGAACGAGGACGGGGGAGACGTTAAGGAAAGGTTCTGTAGCGCTCCCATGGGGATGAAGATGCTGCAGCCAGTCTCCAGGGCATGCCGGCCATTGCTGTATTGGTGACGGTTCTACGAGGGTAGGTATGGGCCGGTACTCAGTGGGCCGGAGAACACCAGCATGGTGGCAGGCATCGGCACCCATAAGGATGTAGGAGTCCTGTCCATCCGGCCCATCTGCCGCTGTGACCCGCGCCAGACCAATCATATGTCCCACCGAATGGCCTGGTGCATCGAGAAGGTAGAACGAACCATCCCCAAAGAAATCAAACGCATCAAAACGGCCAATTTGGCAGTGATGAGGTGAGCTGCTCGTGAAGCTAATTTCCCGCACACGGCGGCCCTGGATATCACGGTCCAAGACCAAAGAGTCCGGATTGGTGGGATATCCTGGCCAACAATGAGACCGTACTCCAGGGCCCACAACTAAGTCAGTGGACTCTGGAAAGGTAGACGGGTCCCCGATATGATCGAAGTGATGGTGTGACCAAATGATGGCTTCGATATCCTTGCTCCGAACGACAGGGCCGTCCTCGGGCCATTCTTCTTGCGTATCTAGAATCTCCGCTACGTTCTTGTCAACATGGACTCGCGTCGTCTGTTGGATCAGATGGACCACCTTGGGAGCGTAATTCTCCCAGTCCAGGCGCACGCCGAGGTCGAACAGCACATGTCGATTCCCATGCGAGACTAAAAAGCAGAAGTCCGAAACTGTCAAGCCGTGGAGTCCTTTGATCTCCGGTTGCCAGAATAACGGGGGGTCCAACAAGAGAGTAGTTGTACTGGGCTATTTCGTCAATAAGGGATATATGAGATGGCAAAGAGATACCCACGAGTCTATCACCCGTACTGTCACGGTGGCGGTTGATGGTGGAATTTGTAGTGGTGGCGGTGTCTTTGGTGGCACCAGATAGGAGGATGTAATCATTTCTTATGTTGAATAACGTAGAGATAATGTTGAAATGTTGTTAGGGCGAAATCATGCCGTCTTCTGTTTTCTTTCTATGAAGCTTTATATTATGATTTCGAGGACGGCGTCAGCTGTATCGCTTATTCAAGGGGTCTAAGAATTTTGGCTAGGGAAATGAGAACTGCAGATTGTCTTCTGACCTACCTACTCATACCTCCTTCCTTTAACTTCAATACTCACTCAACGTTGGGACTTCCCGCGGCCAGGTTCAAATCCCAAGCCAATCAGAGATACAAGATCTTTTCATGGCCGCTCATTACTCGGTACCTCATGATCTCTACTTTACTCGGAACCTTCCGACATCTACTTTACCCGGTGCCGCCAACACAAAGTCCACAGTCTTGCTGAGCCATTGGACAAGCCATATCCCCCTGGAGTCGGCACGAAATACGATAGCCCCACATTCGGTATGCTCGTATTCATCATTCTTATTATTCACTTGCAACATATCAGCTAAGACCCAGAACACGTCACAGATCCGGCATGTTGAGCGAATGGACGACATCTTGGATTGTATTATTACTGGTCAGTGAGACGGGACAGATCAAAATGATATTAAAATTCCCCATAGTGGATACGCTCAAGTCCTATTTTCATATCAAGGAGGAGAAAGTGATCCGTGTGGCGATGGATGCTCTGTATGAAGGTGGGCTCTCGTCGTTGGTATAAAGCCCGTCTGGAGGGGAGTACTTTCTGGAAGTATCGAAGCCTCTACACCCCCATCCCGTGGCTGGAGATAGAGCTCACTGTTTATTCGTTCCTGTACTGCAATGTTGTTCATCAGTTCCTTTATGCCTTTATTGCTTCAAGCGTTGTGCTTGCAGCTGGCTGCCGCAAGCATCCTGGGAGACAGAGGCAACACTGCGTTTGACTACATCGTGGTAGGGGGTGGGAATGCTGGCCTGACCATTGCATCCCGCCTATCGGAGGACGCGCAACTGCGAGTCGCTGTCATTGAAGCAGGCGATTTCTATGAAGAGGTGACGGGCAATCAAAGCCAGATTCCTTCCAACGACGGCCTGTATAATGGCAAGGCCGCAAACAACACCAACCCGCTTGTTGAATGGGGTTTTATGACAACACCACAGGCAGTGAGTCGATCTCATTATTAAGACGAGAGTGAGTAGAGTCTGATAAGAGGCGTAGGGCGTCAATGATGAAAAGGTTCATTACGGACGAGGTAAAACGGTAAGTTGCGTTAAGCTCGCATTCTGAAGGATCTCCTTTTCTGACTTCGCCGCAGCTCGGTGGCTGCACGGCGCTAAACTACATGGCGTACCAACGCCCTCCAATGGGTGCTATGGAAAGATGGGCCGAAACTGTGGGCGACGAGTCATGGACCTTTGATAATGCTCTCCCGTACTATAAGAAAAGTCTCAACTTTACTCCGCCGAATATGCAGAAACGAATTGCCAATTCCACTCCGAGCTACGATGAGTCGACCCTCGGACATAACGGTCCATTGGCATTGACCTACCCCAATTACGCCCAGGCCTTCAGCACCTGGGCAGCAAAAGGCATGGAGGAAGTCGGTATTCCACACATCCCCGGATTTATCAGCGGCTACCTCAACGGCTCGAGCTGGCTGGTCCATACTATCGACCAGACAACGGGCTTCCGGGCATCGTCTGAATCAGCCTTCTTAAGACCCTTTCTCACCCGCCCCAATCTGGCGGTCTACAGAAACACGCTGGCAGAGAAAATCATCTTCGAGGGAAATGTAGCCACGGGAGTCCAAGTGACATCGGCAAACCATACCGTCTTATTAGCAGCGCAAAAAGAAGTCATTGTGTCCGCGGGTACATTTCAATCACCTCAGCTGCTTATGGTCTCCGGTGTTGGACCGGCGGACCTACTACGCCAGCATAATATAACAGTAGTTGCCGATCGTTCTGGCGTGGGGCAAAATATGCAAGACCACGTATTTTTTGGCATCACGCATAAGGTCAATGTCCAGACTTTCTCCTCGCTGTCTAACCCATCCATCTATGAAGAAGCCCTTCACTTATTTCAAGATCAGCAGGCTGGTCTACTGGCTAGCCCTGGAGGAGACTACTGTGGGTTTGAAAAGCTACCAAAGGAGTTCCGTGTGAATTTCTCAAACAGTACACGCGAATGTGGGTATAAATATCAGCTAAGATCCTTTGCTTACTTACTGCCGTTGTGCTGATCAATGTTTCTTTGTTTACTAACAACATATACAGACCTTGACAGCCTTCCATCGGATTGGCCTGAGATCCAGTACTTTACCCTTCCTGGATATGTAGGTGATTTCTGGAATCCTGGTGTTGGCGGGCCCACGGATGGGAACTACGCCACCATCATGGCAACTCTGATCGCCCCCAAGTCTCGTGGAAATATCTCTATTTCATCTTCCAGCATGCACGATCAACCGCTAATTAACCCAAATTGGCTGACCCAACCGGCCGATATGGAAACTTTCACGGCGGCATTCAAGCGAATGCGCCAGATCTTCCAAGCCTCGGTCCTGCAAGAGAACCTGACGATTGGGCCAGAGTATTACCCAGGAGATAAAGTGTCCACCGATGAAGAGATCCACCAGTTCATCCGAGATGCTTTCCAAACGATGTATCACGCCGCAGCGACATGCAAGATGGGAAAACCCGATGATACGATGGCTGTTGTGGATATACATGGCCTTGTATACGGAACTCAGCGCTGTAAGTTTACATAAATGTCATTCTGCTCACATTACTGTATAATTTAAACCAAGGAAAACAACCATGTACTCATGCCATGTGAAACAGTGCGAGTCGTTGACGCCTCCGCATTTCCTTTCCTCCCGCCCAGTAAGTTCCTCCCCATACCATTGTATACAGCGGCTGGACTAACCGTTCCAGATCTCCCCCAAGGAACAGTCTGTAGGTGTTTCTATAATACCCCCTATATATCCTGTTGCATCAACAGAATCATACTTAGACGGATTAACTGACGTCCGCCTAGATATGCTAGCCGAAAAGATTGCAGAAGACATCAAGCATGGACATTAGGGAGATACTGCCACAGGAGGTAGATATATTTGAGGCAGTGGAGCTACTTGTATCTAAGACTAGACAGTCGATTAAGCGAAAATCAAGACGAAGTGGCATGAGGAAATCTAGAGCGACTGGAGCACCTGATTCTCGTGCCTGTCGTTTACCTTTATCAATTTTCCATCCGCTTCCCTCGGTGTCATGACCAACTGAACCACTGCGCATAGTTGAGTTGATCAGCAATAGAGTTAAGCTCTGATATTATAGATTATCTACAGATCAGTAAGTGGCACTCCCGCAACCTTCAGTGTCTAAAGAATATAATTTGACATGGATGTCGTTAGAGAAGAAAGCGGAAACTAGGTACATTTCATAAACATATCTACGAGCCCAACCATAATAAGCTATTCAGCTAACTCAAACTCAATGCTATGCAAACATGTCGCTAGGGGTCATCCGCCGCCATTTTCTCTTCATACTGATTGATTTTGACATCAAGTCCGTATTGTCGGAAAAACCAAGCATTCTCCACTTGGTACCTCCGCGGATCCGAAACATCAAACTAAATTCCGTTAGTGCTCTGCTAGTTAAGTGCAGGTGATTATATAACGGGCTCATGACGGTACCTTATATCGAAGCGCCAGCACAGGAACAATCTTCTTCATCTCCAGCAACGCAATCTGACGACCAAGGCAAACACGCCTTCCGGCCCCGAACTATATGCACACCCTTGTCAGCCATCCCTCGCAGTGATGATGTAGCAGCCTTTTTGGACACTCACAGTTATGACGCTGGCTTCTAATTTTCGTCTGTGTTCCTGCGGAACCATCCATCGGGATGGGTTCCAAAGGTCGGCATCTTCTCCAAAGGTGGGTTTGTGGCGGTTGACCACATACGGACTCATTCCGACAACGGTGCCTTCTGGTATGTACGTGTCACTAATCATTATCCCACCTTTAGGAACCACTCGTTCAAGCGGGAGGCAGAAGGGAGGATGCAGCCGCACTGCTTCGTTAATACAGGCATCTAGATATGGAAGATCTGCAATGTCCCTCCACGACGGGAAGGGCTTCGAGAACCCTCCGGGTTTCTTTGCCTCTGCGTCTCGGAGCTCCTCTCGAAGGCGATCCAACGTTTCCGGATGGGAAAGAAGGTTATGCCACACGGTTCGCAGGACAACAGCCGTGGAATCGGAGCCTGCAATGACATTGGAAAACGTCCAGGCAGTAACACACCTACGCATTCGCCGAGTTAAAGATACGTTACAGCAAGGAAGAGTCAAGGCAATACCTACCACTTTGGAAGGGACGTATCATTCGCTTGGATCTCGAAGAACTGCGATAGCATATCCCGACCACCTAGGTCAAGTTCACCTTTCTGGTTGCTTTCGAGTGCTTCTCTTCTTTCCGCGATGAATTTACCGACAATGCTAAGGATAGAGAAGCCAGTAGTTCTGCGAAACATGGCAATAAACGAGTTTTTATACCAGATGTCATCAAACCAGGGGATCTGTGTCATCTATACAAGGAAAGTACCGGAATGTGTCAGTCTAGTCTGTGAAATTCAAACAGAGGCCTAGTCCTACCGGTGCGGCGGTCTCCATATAATTCCAGATAGTAGCCAACATTCTGTGCACGTCTCGCCCCTGTTCAAGGAATCCGTATCTCTTCGAGAAGGTCAATGTTCCCATCACATCAAAGGCAAAATATTGCAACCAGTCAGTCAAGTCGAAAGGTTTTCCAGTCTCTGCAAAACGTTCATCTAGCTGTTGAATCATCACCCGAATAGCCTCATCAACAAACTCTTCGAGGCAGAGCACATTTGACAAGGAGAAAAGCGGTGCTATCGGTGATTTAATCCTCTTGTGAAGCTCCTCGTCTCGGGTGTTGAAAACGGCTGGTAAGGCCCCTCCTTTCTTTGTATAAGGCATGAGAGTTCTATAGAAATCGCTCTGCGAAGTAATTTGATTAGCCCTGGAAGTGTCACTAGCTAGTGGGTTGTTGTTAATACAGACCTTAGGGAATCCTGGGCGAATTGGGTATATAATTGGAATCCAATCTGGATTCGCTAGAGAAATCATCTTTGGACCGAAGCGCACTACCTCCCCGTATCTTTTGTGCATCCCATGATGTATTTCATGCGCCCTTTTACTCTTCACCCAGAGCACTCGCTGTATGTTGGTGAACCGTGCCCAGAAAGGTCCCCGCACATGCCTTAGCCGCCAATAAGTCCGGAAGAGATGAACCAACACCGAAGATAACAGCAGTGCCAAGAAGGTCTGAGCCCACTGAGTACCTTCAGATAACCAAAGTTCTGGAGATTTCATCTTCAAAGGGATTTCATGTATTCTTGGGGCGTAATCAGATGAGATACACCTGCGTTCTCAGGCCTGTTTATAAGGGTCGTTTTCTCAAGACGAAGGGGATGCAGCATCTGCTTTCTTGCCGTCATCAGTGTAGAGATACGAAGAGAAGACAAAATTTGCCTGAGAGTATGACTGTGTTAGGTTTACGGCCCAGAGGGGAAGGTTGGGATATATCTTTGATAGTTGCTTACGTATGTATATATGTATACCCAGGTGTACCTAGGTACCTAGGAGAAGGACATAAGGCCCGTGTATATACGTGACTATATATGTTTAGAAAGAGAATAACACAACCTCAGTTCCCTTTAGCTGAACCAGCCAATTCGATATTCCTAACCCTACTTCTGGTGACACCGAGGACTCGACCCCCTGACAATTTAATACGAGCGCCAGAGTATTCAGCGAAATGCATTTACTCGTGATATCCTGTTCGTCTCTCCTTGTCAGGCATGTATATAATACGGATCATGAATAAATCTCCGTGTGGACCTAGGGAAGTGGCCCCGAGTAAACGGTGCCGTGTAACAGAATGGCACTGAGTAGAGCAGAGTACGGAAAAAAGATTGGGAGACCACTGCCACCGAAATTATTATCGCACCAATTTAGACACATTCATCATGACAGGCTTGGATAGGGCGATGGCATACGAAATGACTGGGTAAAATGTCACTAAAATCTTTCTTGGTAGTCTCCCTTGACCGATGGAAAGTAGTAACGATGATAAGCCACTCTAACTCGTACATGAATTTACTCTGGTACATTTGAGTCATCCATAGCAATCTATCCACCTGCAGTATATCAAAGTATGGCAATTCAACCGTGCTTTGGTCGACTATTATTCTATATCTTTTTTTTCCTGCGGATTTGTTACAATTCCTAGACAAAATTCTGTGCTGCTACGTTCACTCAACGTCAACATATGCCAGCCCTTGTTAACATGTCTACGTCAACCAATCCACCAACGGATAGGGGAAGCCCAGCTCTGTTCTTGATAGGCCCGCAACTGTCTCGTGTCACCGCAAACGACGTAATCCGGCTTCGTTCAGCCATTAGAGGTACTGCAGAGCTGTCTTTCCTCCTCGAAGCAGTCAACGAGCTAGAGGCAATATGGCCGACATTGGTGGAAACATTTCCTGAACTGAAGACACTACCGGGAAATTTGGCCCTTCGAAGAGTCGCTGGCTTGCTCAATGGAGACGACTCCCCACACCTGGACCAGTCAGTAGCGCGGAGCATTGAGTTGAACGTGTTTACAGTGCTATCCCATGTGGTTGATTTCTGGCGGGCGTCGGTGACGAGAATAAGGAGTGAAATATTTCCTTCACCCACTCACAGCTCTTCGCATTTGGCCGACATTCAAGGTCTCTGTATCGGCTTTCTGACGGCTGCTGCCGTCTCCTGTTCAATGTCTGGGAAGCACTTCAGGAAAAATATCGTTGTCTCACTTCGTATTGCTGTGGGTGTTGGTGCCCTGGTGGACTATGATAGCATCAAAAAGGCCACCACATCTATCTCAGTGGACTGGAGCTCACATTCGGAGCAGCAAGCGCTACAAGGCCTTTGTGAGAAGTATGCGGAGGTAAGCTTTCGTTGTGCCAATCCTATGAGACACAGGCCTTTCTAATGTTAACAGAGCTACATCTCTTGTATTACGGATGCCACTCGTGTCACAGTCACTCTGCCTGACCCTGAAATCCATCCCTTCCTAGGAGAGCTCTCATACACAGGGCTATCTGCCCAGCTAATTGGTCTCATTGGTCGGTATCATCATCGTGATGCGCACCAAGAGGCTGTTTACCGGTTTAAGGATCTCTGCAATCGTGATCCGCGTTTCCAGTTTCCTCATTTGAATGATCTCTACCTCCCACTGAGATCCAACGTTGACGGAAGCATCATTTCCGGGTCTTTACATGACGTTGCGATTGACTCCATATTGCTAGAACAATGCAATTGGGTTCAAACAGTACGGCAAGCGTTTGGCAATAATGCCGGAGAATCTAAGCAGATCGTGCCGATAGGCTCTATGGTTCCGATTCCCCGTTCGGTAATTAAACGCCCGATATCTAACGGGGAGCCAGTCGGTTCCGGAAGTACCAGATTAAATGGACGGACGAACGGAGCTTCTCATAAACTCCCGCATGGTGCAACTGCCAGTGCAGAATCGGACAGTATTGAATCTCTTGCAGCCGCAGATCCGCCAGCTATAGCGGTCGTTGGAATGGCTTGCCGCTACCCGGAAGCTGACGGTCTGGAAGAATTCTGGGAATTGATGCGCTCCGGGAAGTCTGCTGTACGCCCGCTGCCCGAGGACCGGTTCAAGCCCTCAGACCTCAGCCGTGGGCCAGACGGAGGATTCTGGGGTAACTTTCTTCGCGCCCCAGATGCGTTTGATCATCGTTTCTTTGGCATTTCCGGAAGAGAAGCAAAATATATGGACCCACAGCAACGTCTACTTCTGCAGGTAGCGTACGAAGGGCTGGAATCGGCTGGGTACTTTGGCCTCTGCAATTCACACAACACAGATCTCTCAGACATCGGATGCTACATTGGAGTTGGATCAGTCGATTATGAGGCCAATATCAACTCGCACGACACCACTGCATTCTCTGCTGTTGGGTCGCTCAGAGCCTTTATAAGTGGCCGAGTTAGTCATCACTTTGGATGGACCGGTCCATCCATCACATTTGACACTGCGTGCTCCTCGGGAGCTGTAGCGATTCATTCCGCGGTGAATGTAAGCAATCAAGATGAAATGCATCTAGGGGTTTACCAACAGCTGACCGCACAATAATTAGGCTTTGAAAAATAAAGAGGTATCGATGGCTGTGGCTGGAGGCGTGAACGTGATTACTAGCCCGGGGTTGTATCAAAACCTTGCCGGAGCATCTTTTCTTAGTTCTACCGGTGCCTCGAAGGCCTTCGATGCAGACGCCAACGGTTACTGTCGAGGAGAAGGGGTCGGAGTAGTGGTGCTCAAAACCCTTACTCAGGCTCTTCTCGATGGTAACTCTGTTCTCGCGGTTATCAGAGGGTCGGCTGTCAATCAGGCGATGAATTGCTCCCCCATCACGGTCCCTGTTTCAAAGTCCCAAACCTCGTTATACCGGAAGGCACTCTCGATGGCTGGGGTTGATCCAAGAGATGTCACGTATGTTGAAGCACATGGAACAGGTAATCTCCTCCCCGTCACCATGCGAAGAAAACGATTAAGCTGACGACGGATTCTCAAGGAACACCTGTAGGTGATCCAATCGAATGCGAAAGTGTGCGCCAGGCGTTCGGAGGGCCCCAACGCGAAAATACACTGTTCGTTGGGTCGGTCAAGGACAATATCGGACACACCGAGGCAGCATCCGGTCCTGCGGCGCTCATCAAAACAGTTCTTATGATGCAGAAACACTCGATCCCTAAGCAAGCTAATTTCACCAAATTGAACCCGAAAATCTACCCGTTGGAGCCGGACTGCATGGCCATTCCTCAGGAAACAATCCCATGGATGTCAACTAGACGAATTGCCGTTGTTAATAACTATGGAGCAGCTGGCAGCAATGCTGCAATTGTTATCGATGATCCAACATCTATACAGAGCAAAGCGGTTGTCGCGGATGCAATAAAAGAATATTCAGTCATCCCCTCTTCCCCAATTTTCATTTCCGCAAAATCCCCTGAAGCTCTACAGGAGTACTGTTCCACATTGTCGATGCAGTTGTCATTAGCCTGGGAAAAACAGTTCGGTGCTCAGGCAACTCAGGCTTTGGCGTACAACTTGTCGGTAAAACAAAACAGGCAACTTGATTACAACTACACGTTCAGCGCATCATCTGTCGATGAACTTAAGGCTGCACTTGACCACACCAATGAACGGGATTTCCTCAAGCGCCCACAGGAAAATCTTCCCGTTGTATTGTGCATTGGAGGTCAGAATGGGTGCACAGCACAAATTGATTCTGATTTCTATGAGACCTGCAACTTATTCAAGAACCATCTGGTATGTGGCTGGTGCTTGATCCTTCTTGTTATTTGGATTGTACGCTAATTCGTTCATTAGGACGCCTGTGAAGCAACGTGTCAGATCCTGGGGCTCCCGAGCCTGTTTCCGCGTATCTTCTCGTCTCAGCCCATTGAAGATCTTGTTTCTTTACACTGTATTCTTTTCTCTATACAATACTCTTGCGCTAGGTCATGGTTGGATGCCGGTCTGAAGGTCGATACTATTATCGGCCATAGCTTTGGGCAACTTACAGCCTTGGTTGTAGCCGATGCCGTGTCTCTAGAGGATGGGCTCCGTCTAATCTCGGAACGTGCCCGTCTTCTAAAATCTTCCTGGGGTGATGACCCAGGCTCCATGTTGTCAGTACAAGGTGGGGACACCGAAGTTCGGTCGCTCCTGGATAGTACAAAAAAGCTACATCCGGGGATGGCTTACGATATTGCATGCTTTAACGGCCCGGACACAATTGTCGTCGCTGGGTCAACAGAGTCTATAGAAGCTATCGAGAAAACGTCACGAACAGATGAACTTTATTCTCACTTGAAGCTTGTGAGGCTTAGAAATACGCACGCCTTTCATTCAAGGCTCGTTGAAGCAATTGTACCTGGTCTCAGAAAGGTCGCTGCAACCATCACATTCCAAGCGCCATCGTTACGAATTGAGTCGTGCTCAAAGGACCAAGACTGGACACAGCCGATCAATGCTGAAATTGTTGTTCAGCACAGTCGAATGCCTGTCTACTTCTATGAAACGGTCCAGCGCACTACACGTCGCGTCGGTTCTTGCGTCTGGATCGAGGCTGGATCAGCTTCTCCAATTATTCCAATGGTGCGCAGGGCTTTGGGAGGCCCCGAAGCAAGCTCTAGCAGTGTTTTCCAGTCTCTGAGCTTGAACGAACCAGAAGGCATATCTAATCTTGCACAAGCGACAGCAAGATTGTGGGCAGCCGGGGTGGGGGTCCAGTATTGGCCCTTTCATAAGTGTCAAAAAGATCAATTCCCCTGGATCAATCTCCCATCTTATCCGTTTCGCAAGACTTCACATTGGTTGCAATATAACCCTCCTGTGGCAACCTCCAAAAAAGACTATCCTATCACACCAGAACAGGGCCCGGGGCAGCTCCTCAATCTGGTCGAGAGTGACCACCAGAGTGCAATCTTTCAACTTAATTGCTCTCATCCGATGTTCGTGCTTTGCACAAAGGGGCATGCTGTTCTCAATAAAAGTCTGTGCCCAGCGTCAATGTACGTGGAGATAGCTGCACAGGCAGTGACCGAGCTTCCTGGGGGCGGTTCTACAGCGGGTCTCCATGTACGAGATTTGCATATCTCTTCACCGTTGTCGATCAGTCAAAGCCGTATTGTATTTATTGAGCTACAATCAGTCAAGGGCGAACAAGGCGCATGGGAATTTACAATCAATTCTCGCAGCGATAGCCAACAAACCAGAGATCCGTTCACGAAACATGCCCACGGAACTATCTGCATGGACACTCCTGAAAGCCAGTTTCCCACCGGCAAAATTCAGTCGCTTAAACGACTAGTCAGCCAGGTACGGCAAGGCAGTGTGTCTGGAACTCCGGGCGCCAATATGCTGGATGGCAAGGCCATTATTTATCGACTCTTTGGACAGGTCGTGAACTATGCTCCCTTCTACCAGGGAGTCGAGCATATGGTTTCCAAAAACAACGAGGCTGTGGGCTCGGTGCACGTTCCATCGGCTCAAGACCCGGTTATGAAAAGTGCACGATGTGATCCAATCATGGTGGACAACTTCCTTCAGGTTGCAGGAATCCTCGTCAATTGTCTCTCGGACAGTATTGACAGCCAAGTCTATATCTGCACAGAAATTGGACACCTTTATCTCAGCAATCATTTCTTTGCCAAACGAGGTGAAACGAAGTCCTGGGATGTCTATACTACGTTCGACAAGGTTTCCGAGAAGAAGGTAGTGAACGACATCCTAGTCTTTCACCCTGTCACAGGTGAACTGTTTGCCTTGATCATTGGCGCCACTTTCCATAGTGTCGCTGTGAAGTCACTCGTCGCTATGCTGGCGAATCTTAATGCGCCTGGTGTTGGTCTGGCGAATGCTCAAAGTACTCAACCTACGACAAATGGAACACAGGGGGCGAAGAACAGCCAAACCTTGGATTCCGTAAACACCAATTTTCATCTCTCAAATGCACGGGATCTTGGTAGTGTTGTTGAGATTAAACAGAACCTGGATTGGATTCTTAGAGAACTACGGCAGCTGCTTAGCTTAGCGACTGAAATTCCTGTTAATGAGATCACACCAACCACTTATCTGACACACATCGGTATCGACTCGCTCATGAGTACAGAAGTCTTGAGCGATATAAGGCGACAGTTTCATGTTGATATTCCGGCCTCCGAATTCATCGCTCTTGATAGCGTTCTCGCTCTCGCTGAATGCCTCCATTCACACTTCAAGGCAGAGTCCAACGGCAGATATATCAAAGACAACAAGGCCAATGGACGCGAAGTCCACTTGCCTTCTTTTGGTCCCTGCCAGGAACTCCTTAGTGACATTTTAGGAGTGCCTGTCGATGAAATCTCTGCTGATATGTCTCTTGCTGATCTGGGCGTGGATTCATTGGTCTCTACGGAACTCGTGAGCGAGGTCAAGAAACGCTTTGGCATTGCCATCACGACGGAAGAATTGCAAGCTATGGAGTGTGTTGGTGATCTTTCTCGCCACGTTCAGGTGCCACCCTCTGCACCTCTCATTTCTGAGCCTCGTAATCGGCACCAGAACGGAAGCATGAAGTCACGACAAGACCCCCCGGGTCAGCGGATAGAATTCCAAGATATGGACCTGACTCAGACAATGGACTCATTCATATCAGTTGCCAAGCAATGTTTTCTCAGCGCTCGGAGTAGCATGGACGAGATGTCTAACAGAACACAATTGTCCGGCTTCTGCCAGCGTGTACTTCCTGCCCAGATGGAGCTTGTGGTGGCATACGTCGTCAAAGCGTTCAATGGCTTGGGCTGCCCATTGGCTTCTATGAATGTTGGTCAAAATCTCCCAGACATATCAGTTCTTCCTAGGCATCACAAGGCGAAGAATCAAATCTATAAGATACTGGAAGAACAAGGCCTAATCGAATGCAACGCTTCCGGCCAATTCAGACGGACCAAAAATCCAGTGCCTTTTGAGCAGCCCGAAAAGTTGCTGGAGTCGATCATCGCGAAGTTCCCGCAGCATGCATTTGAGCACACTCTACTCGCATCTACGTGTTCCAAACTCGCTGAATGTCTTACTGGGAAAGCTGACCCACTGGAGATACTCTTTGGTAGTGCCAAATCTAGAGCCTTATTGGAAAACGTCTACACCAGCGCCCCTATGTTCGAAACGGGCACTATGAGCTTGACACAGTATCTTGTGGACGTGTTTCAAGCCTTTGGTGAAAGAAGACCGATCCGTGTTTTAGAGCTTGGCGCGGGTACAGGAGGAACCACCAAGCGCCTCGTGGAGGCTCTCGTCGGCACTGGAAAAGAATTCGAATACACATTCACCGACATTTCGGCCTCGCTAGTGGCAGCTGCGCGGAGAAAGTTTGCGCAATACAGCTTTTTCCATTACGCAGTTATAGACATCGAGCAAGACCCACCATCACAGCACCAAAATCAGTACGATATCGTTATCTCAACAAATTGTATTCATGCCACGAAAGACCTGACCGTCTCTTGCACAAATATCAACAAACTGCTGCATTCAAACGGCCTACTGTGTCTGGTGGAGCTCACTCAAAACTTATTCTGGTTTGACCTTGTCTTTGGTCTCCTTGACGGATGGTGGCGCTTTGAGGATGGCCGTCAACACGCATTGGCGAGCGAAACAATGTGGAGGAAATGTCTCACGCGATCAGGATTCCAATGGGTGGACTGGACAGCAGGCGCCATAGAGGAATCTAGCATCCTCCGTGTCATTGTTGCTTCGCCCTCTAATTTCATGCGTACTACGACAGAGACAGTCGAATTCAAACGAGTGGGAGACTTGTCCCTTAAGGCAGATCTCTATTATCCTCAGCACGTCGTCAGCCGCGACAAGAGGCTTCCAGTCGGTGAGACAGAACTGCAAACTTGCTAAAAATCAAGAAAAGAAAAAAAGAAGCTATAACTGACTAACATGACGGGTTTTCAGCTCTATTGATCCACGGAGGAGGTCATGTCATGCTGTCGCGGAAGGACATCCGCCTCTCGCAAGTTGAAACACTTCTCGATCATGGCTTTCTTCCTGTCAGTATAGATTACCGACTGTGTCCAGAGATCACCTTGTCGGAGGGCCCGATGACCGATGTGTACGACGCTCTTGCATGGGCACGTACTGTTTTGCCATCTCTTCCACTCCTGCGTGGTGATATTTCTGTTGATGGCGAGCGTGTTGTGGCCATTGGCTGGTCTACTGGAGGCCACCTCGCTCTTACACTGGGATTTACTTCCCCGTTGAGGACAATCCGACCTCCTGACGCGACTCTTGTGTTTTACTGTCCGCTGGACTACGAGGATCCGTTCTGGAGCGAGCCAAATTTCCCCTTCGGGGACAGTGCATCACTGAGCACACTTATGCAACACGACCTTTCGCGTGGGGCGCACGACAGCGTTATCACGGCCTATAACCCACCGAAGTCGAAGCGGCCTCTAGGTGGATGGATGGCACCCAGCGATGACCGGTCGCTGATCGCGCTACACATGAACTGGAAGGGCCATGCGATGCGGATTTTGCTGAATGGTTTGTCAAGACACTCAGGAGTAAAGTCTAGCGATGAGCTCCCTGAGCCAACCCAAGTACAAATCCAAGCCGTGAGCCCGCTAGCTCAGATACGCCGTGGTACATATACTACCCCTACTTTCATAATTCACGGCACGGAAGACGATCTTATTCCCTGGGAACAGGCAGTGAGAACTTTTGAAGCATTGCGACAACGCAATATCATTACAGGCCTCCGCATTCTCGACGGTGCAAAGCATCTTTTCGATCTCTACCCGTCTTACAAAGATAATTTGCAGGCAGCAAAAGCTGTGCAGGATGGATATGAATTTCTTCGTAGGCATGTTGGACTGTGATTAGATCTCCTTGTGGAGACTTTTTTTGGCATCTATAATATTGTACTGGGAAAGAGCATAGCCCTTGTGGGTATCTAAAATATATTGTGTTATTTCTGGTTATTATGTGAGGAGAGATGAACCGTGAGGTTAACCAAAGCACAAGGATATGCTTCACATCCTATGGCCTCTGACCTCAACAAATGTATATAGTACGGTTGAACCTCCAACCAAGCTCAAAAAAGCTCGCAAGGATATCAGCAAGACCAAGATCAACATATAACCCATCACCATACGTCCGACACAGTAGCCTCACAACAATTCCTTTGACTCTTGCGTCAGAAGAACCAAGTCCCACCTGGCTGACAGACAGTCTAGGATTTTCAGCAGCCCACGGGCCTTATAGAAGTGGGTAATGCCAAGCAAGGTTAGGCGGGTGGTTTTCCGTTTCTCCCAGATGGTGAGCCTGAGGAGCCTGAGGAGCCTGAGGAGCCTGAGGAGCCTGAGGAGCCTGTAGTGGTGTCAGTCTACCTACTTTCTTGATATTCTTTGTATTCTAGTTTCTCCATTTATTGTTGATTATGAAGACATTGGCCACAATTAATTAAAAAAAATCACAGTCATTAATTCAGCATAATAAAAAGCCATTTGACACACAACGTTAAATCGCTCTACTCATGAGCAATACATCGTAAACTCTTAGGAAGTAATGCAAAGGTAACAATGTACAAAAACAGGGACCACATGTGGCCCTGAATCGGGGTCATCAAGTATAAGAAAAACGAGGGGAAATGCATAAGCAAGAGCAAAACATAAGGTATAAGCGATCCTCAGGTCATCATAGGCGCAATGCAAATGCAGGAACAAGGGGGTATAACATGAATGCATCTCAAGGAACAAAATGCTGACATGACAACCACCCGATGCAAGGATGAGAAGTAAAAAAAGCAAAAGGGTTAGTATTACAGAGCTTTCAGCAAAAATAAACGTGCAAAATCATTTCCTCTATCGGCTCGTCAGCATCCCATTCTCTGGCCCTGGTTCAGGTCGCTGGCCTAACTCACCAGACTTGTCGCAGCCGCCGCAGTAGCGAGGTCTGGCTTCCCGCTGAGACTCCGTGCCGAAACGCGAGGGAGTGCAGAGCCGGAAGTTGTAGAATTGCTGGAACCTCGCTTTCCGGGGCTGGACGGAGGGCCATTCACCGTCGAGTGTCGTTTGCCGCTTCCCTTGACCGGGGAATTAGCCGAGGCATCGCGAGTGCGCATGAATCCACTCTTGAGCGTTGTGCCTGGAGGATCCGGGAGAGGACGAGCTGCAGAGGTGGTACCTCGCTTGGAAGGCGAGTTTGATGCATACATCCTGGGCCGAGGGGCCTTGACAGCAGTGAGGAATTCATGTTTCACCGCATCATGGGGCGAGAGTCGACGAGCAGGATCCCAACGAAGACAGCGAGTGATGAAATCAAGGAAGGGTTCATCATCACACTTCAAAACCTGTCGGAGCTCCTTAGAGCTCGGACGACGTCGGCGTCCCTTGGATGAAACGGTCAGACGTGGCTTGCCAAGAGAATCAAAGAACAACTTCTTGCGCGTGCTCTTCTCAATGAGATGCTTTTCCGGAGGACCAAACACTTCCATGATGCAAGCAAGCTGCTCTTGTTCGTTCTCTCCTGGGAAAATGGGATAGCCGGTGAACAGCTCAGCCAAAATGCAACCTAAACTCCACATATCTATCGGCATGCCATACGACATTCCGAGGATGACCTCAGGTGAGCGGTAGAAGCGACTCTGGATGTAAGTATAGACCTTTTCATTCTCAAAGCAACTTGAACCAAAGTCGATTACTCGAATTTCGGAGTTCAGTGGGTGAACGAGAAGGATGTTTTCGGGTTTCAAGTCACAATGAATGACCTTCTTCGCATGCAACAGCACAAGACTGCTCAGCATCTGCTTTGTGAAAACACGGATCAACTTCAACGAGAAGCCCCGGAATTCATGGGCCTTGATGAATTCATAAAGATTCATGCCAAGGAGTTCGGTCGAAATACATAGATGACCACGGAAATAGAAGCTTTGGGTGAAGTTTACCACGCTATGCTTACCATGAGGGTCCCATTCCTTCAGTTTTTGTAGGAGGTTGACCTCAATCAGGGCTTGTTGGTGGAATCGTTTCTTGTTGCGAATGATTTTAATCGCAACCAGAGCTCCAGTCTTGTGGTCAACGCATCGCACGACCTGGCCAAAACTGCCCTTGCCTAAGACATCAACAATTTCGTATCGGTAAGCCAGATGGTCGCCGATGACAATGTTATAATCACCACGATCATCATCGTAGCCAAAGTTCGCTGCGCTGGAGTGGAGATCTCCAACATGTTTCTTGGCAGTCTGGGTACCGCAGAAGTAAATATCGCGATAATCGATGATCTCACCGCGTTCAAAAATGTTGAGTGTTGCCATCTTCAAGGCTTGGGCGGGACTGACACGATCCTTTGGTCCAGCCTTGCGGCGCAATTCGTCTAGTACACGCGCCGCCTTTTCGAAGTCTTTGCGTTTAGACCCAAGTCGCTTCATCTCTTCATCTGCAATCGCCACATCTGCATCAACGGTGGTATCGGTAGACCGGGAAGTAGCAGCAATACTAGATCTAGCATTGTTGATCATCTTGTGAACAGGAGAGATGTACGTGCTCTGCACGCGCCTAGAGCGGTCGCTTTCGCCCGACTCATTGGAGGGAGTTGGTTCCAGGGTGAGACTTTTCTCGCTGCTGACACTTGGCTTCCGATTTGTTGGGTTTGTTGCACTTGAAACAGAAGACTGTCGGCGAGGATTGAGATACGATGGCTTGAGACTAGGGCTCGTCGAATTGACTGAAGACAGGTTGTTCCATGTTGCAGAGGCTGGAAGTTTAGGTGGTGGCATATGATTGTGCTTGGCTGGATCGGCATCGGATTCTGGCTTTTGTGGCTTCGAGTTGCTGCGAAGCCGTGCCACCTTAAGCCGGTCCCGAAGAGAGGAGCCAGACGCGGTGACGGTGACACTCTCAGGCTCCGAAGGCGTCGATATCTGGCTGAGCCGTTCTGGAGCAGGAGTGAAAATGGCACTTTGCGTCTGAGGTCGTGGACCATTCAACTTGTGTGCTGGCGTCCGATTCGAATAATCGGCGCTGGCCTGGTGCCGGAGATGGTTAAGATCGGCACCGTTCTTGGGCAGCGTGTATGAGGCATAGGGAGAAATGTTGCGAGTTGAACCTGACGTGTCAAACGAACCAAACGCGCTGGTACTGCTTGAAGCTCGCAATACGGCGGTTGATGAGCTGACGACAAAGTGAGAGGTACTACTTCGTGCTTGCGTGAGGGGCATTTGGTCGTCTTCATCGCGGTACCAGAAATTCGCCTTGGATGCTGTCATCGGAGTACTAGGCGTCTTTGAAGTCACTTGATTGGATGGGGTGTGAGCTTTGCGCTCGTCATCCCTATCCTTGAGCGCCTCTATTTTGGCAGTCATGGGTGTGCCCAAAGGCAACAAATTCAACGGGGGCAATTTTAAGGGTTGCAAGCCCTTTCGTCCTCCCAGAACAGTAGAAGTTCGTGATCGTGAATCAGGGGTTTTTGTTTCGGCAGATTCAACTTTGTCAACTTGGGCGGTGGTGTGTGGTTCGGAGTCTGAATCTTTGATATTCAGGAGGTTCAAATCCACAGGAAGACTTGATTTTCTGGGCGCAGGGAAGACAGGCGCATCCAGTTCACCTTTAGGCGACTCATAGGCCTTTGGGATTGCTGGGACCGGTGGAACCTCTTCTCCGTTGGAGTTTGTTTGCTCTGTGCGTGGCTTGGGCGTCGGGAGTCGTGACGAAGATAGATTTTGGGACAGCCGGTTTTGAAGAGAGCTCCCAGAAGTTCGCACCGAGTTATAGCTGGTGCTTGAGGAAACGGATAACCCTGAACTATACGACTTACGATTTGGGTCAGGAGTGGTTCGGTTCGAGGAAGGTGTGACGCTTTTCCTCGGAATTTGCGAGGGAGATTGGGTTGATGATAGAGGACAGATGGGAAGAGGTTCTGTCTGAGTGGGAGGTGTATGTGGCATCGGAGGGGCAGGAGGCGCAATCGACATTCGCTTCAGCCTTCGTGCATCAGTGGGACTGATCGTTCGAGCACCAAGTCCAGTGGCATGTGGCGGCATAACAGAAGTCCTTTTAGAGGCAGAGGAAGGAGTCGCCACAGCAGAAGAAGGGGTTCTTACCGGGGTCCGCACGGCATTGGTGGAGTTTGATCGCGAGTGGTCAACGACTCCAGAAGCAGTCAAAAACGGACCACGGGGTTCCCTTGGGATGGGTTGGAATGATTTTGCCTTGAAGTTTCGGACAGAAGACGGAACCTTTGCATCGGACTCTGGAAGTCGAGGGCGAAGGAAGTTATTTGTTGAGGCAGTGTCAGTGCTGATTTTGCGGGCACTTAGACTGGCGCGCCTGGCCGAAGCATTGGTGGGCGCAAATGCCCCAGAGCTGATAGATTTGCGTGAACTCCTTGAAGCACCTGAAGCACCTGAAGCACTCGAAGCACTCGAAGCACTTGCGGCAGACGGCTGGGCTATACTTGGGCGGCGAGAGCGGATATTGGCAGAGGATGCTGTGAGCCCCGCAGCGGCATTCGAGCCATTCGGACGTTGTACTTCACTCTTTCGTCGGGCGCTGACACCCCGTGTACGTTCCGATATATTGCCTGTGTACGTGTGGTTTTCCCAGGGATTCGTCAGTGGACCTGTTTCACGATTCTCACCCGAACTGCCGTTTCCGGGCATGGGGAAGTGGTTCAAGCTAGGTTCACCCATGATGCTGTTATGGAAATCATCAAAGTTGACCGGCGCCAGAAATTCCATGTTGTCTGCATGTTTGGAATCGGCCTTTAGCAGGTTCCCCACGCTCGTAGATCGAAGGTTGAAGCTTTTGGTCGAATCAATCGTAGAATCAACCGAAGAGTTCCCAGAGTGAAGGTATGGGGCAGGTTTGCTAGATATCGAGTTAGTTCAAAGTCAACCACAAGAATAGAACTAGACATACCTCCAACGCGAAGCGTCTTGCGGTCGTGGGCCCTGAGGAACCCTTTGGTCACGAATTGAAAGTCTTCTCCTATTCACACCACCTGCGCGCGGTCCGGCGACTCCATTTGAGGCGTCAAAATCGGTGTTGTTAGAGGGGAAGTTGGTCGAGGCCGACTTTTGCAGGCGCCTGCGGGCTGGAGCTTCTGCTGAGTATTGTCAGTATCTAGCTGCACCTTCCCGACATCTCAACTCTTACCTCCCGAGGTCGAATCATCGTTTGGGGGATTGTGTGCTTGAGCTTCGGTCCGTGCTTGACCTTTGCCCGGTGTTTGTGGCTTTGTTGGCATTGTTTAAGCACACGCGTTTTCAAAAGTCGGAAAAGGAGAGGACTGGACACTGGACTGTGCCAGAGAGATTCGCAATTGCATTCAGGAGAAGTGCGAGGTCTCAAACCAAGAGATACTTGAGCACCGTCGCGCGACTCTTGAAAACAGCTACCGTTCCATTGCGAGTTGTGAAAAAGCAGTGAGGGCCAGGGCAAGTTCTCTTTGATAATAATTTTGGGGAAAGCAGGGTTGCTGGGGCAAGTCCACTAAGGCGGTAACTAGAGGGAAAAAGAAGGTAATTGGGAGGGGGAAAAGGGTGGATTTTATAATTAATCCCGTCAACAAAGGGATATTTAGATAAGCTCGAAGCTGGATGTGAATATTCACAGTGTGAATATATATATAGATATATATAAACAAGAAAAAAAGATGTCAAAGAGACAAATGAAGACCAACTTGTCTTTTCTTTTAGTGTGAACTATCGAATTCGAGGTTCCCCCCTAATACAAACGTGATTATGTCAGCTCTTGCCCCCCGGGGTTCGGCAAAGCATGTGCTTGCGCAGGTGGTCTCTGACTATAATTCTTTTCTTTAACTTCCTTTCTTCTTGTATATGTAAGATCCTATGTCTAATCATGGATGGATTTACAGAAGCCCTGAGTGATGAACCCAAGTTCTCAAAACGGAATAGACATGGTTCACCAGACAGTTCGCATTCGAGATCTTCATCTCTATCCAAAAACACACTACAGGACCGCCTATTTACAAAGTATGTTGGGAATGCCTTTCTTTCTGGATATATCCAATAGATCTGCTGGGAGTTTCAACAGCTGACAACTGCAGGCTCCTCCAACAAGTCATCCCAACAGACGATGAAGATGAACCTGATTCATTGGGAGACAAGGCCTTGGCCTCTCCTCAGAAACCGGCTTTCAGTTTGCCTGTAATGGCAAACAACTTCCGCCGCTTTAATGCAAGGTACATAGGACTGAACTATCCCATGTCATATATGCATTCGCTGAAATTCAAACCACTATAGAATCGGTGTGGTATTTCTGTTCCAGAGCCGTGTTGAGCAACTATTGACCTGGGATACACCAACCCATACCATTTCTTTCCTTTTTGTCTATTCTTTCATCTGCCTTGAACCTCATCTACTTTTGGTTTTACCCCTAGTGGTTCTCTTGCTCTTTATAATGGTGCCAGCCTTTGCAACTCGTCACCCACCACCTCCAAGCACCTCGACGTCCAGCACTACTCCTTACTACTCCTATGATGGACCAGCGCTGGCACCAGCCACGACTATTAAGCCAGCGCCAGAGACTTCTAAAGATTTTCTTCGGAACATGCGAGATCTACAGAACTGCATGGCTGATTTCTCAGACGCTCACGATGCGGCCGTCTCTGTTGTTGCGCCACTGACGAATTTCTCTAATGAGAAGCTCTCTTCAACTCTATTTCTTGGATGCACAATTGCCACAGTTGTATTGTTTATCAGTGCGCATCTGCTGCCCCTCAAAATTGTGCTGCTTGTTGGCGGAAATGCGTTGATTCTCTCCATCCATCCAACGGTGAGGCAATTTTTCTCCAGTCTGATGCAAGACATAGCTGGAGATTCCATAGGCATGGATTCTGCAGATCCATCCGCAGCGATTTTAGCAATGGAAAAGCTCGCAGATATCTCCTTGGACACATACCCCGAAGAGCGAGAGGTGGAAATTTTCGAGCTGCAGCACCGGGCAGCAGGAACGTCAGAGTCTGGGTGGGAAAACTTCCTGTTCAGCCACGCGCCATACGACCCGCTATCACCATCTCGCATCGCCGGGGACCGACCTCGTGGATGCCGGTTCTTTGAGGATGTCCGTGCCCCGCGTGGCTGGGCTTGGAAGAGCAAGAAGTGGGAACTTGATCTAGACTGTCGTGAATGGGTGGTGGAGCGCATGATCACCAGTGTTGGCTTCGAAGTTCCAGGCGTAAATGCCGAAGGCAACGCCATGGTTGGAGAAGTTGGTGGTTGGGTTTGGGACTTGCCTCCAATTCGGCGGGAGTCGGATGATGATTTGACGCTAGCCTACGGAGACCTGCCTGAGTCACCATCTCCTAAGGGAACCAAAGGCAAGGGGAAGGAGAAGGCGAAATTACGGGATTGGGAGGAAGGGACTGCGGCCCACGGAGTGGGGGAATGGAGACGCCGACGATGGGTACGAGTGGTGCAACGGATAAGCCTTCCGCCGGCGGGAGGTGTCACCTACTCAACACTCAGTAGTAATAGCTAGAGGAAACGCGAGATAATGAATCCAAGCGGCTCAGTTGCCGTCCAATAATATTTACTTTGGGACACATGCATCCACGTAGACACTTTTAATAAACAGAAAAAGACAAACGCCGGACTCGCCCTAACCAGATGCTCAGAACAAATGAACAAGGCATTATGACTGACTCTTCTTCCACTTGTTGAGTCTCCTCCGCAAATCACCCTCGCTCTGCTGCATAGGATTCAACTTGCGGTCACGAGTCATAGCAGTGAAATTATCTCCGTGCTTCTCAATCAAGCGCTGAGCCCACTCGCCCTCGCGCGAGCTCTGGTACCGGGGCTTCTTAGCACGGACAGTCTTGCCCTCCTGATCCGCCTGGCGCTCGAGCTGCTGCACAATAATCGAGTCTGCAAGGGGGTTGCTATCGCCATTGCCTTCCAAGACGTCGTTAAGAGGGTCGTTAAGCGGGTTGTTGCGTGAGCGCCGAAGGCCCGCCACTTCAATGTTGTCTTCGTTGTCGTGAATAACGCGCAGAATCGCGCCTGTCTCAGGATCGCGCTCGACTCGTGTCTCGCCGAGGTCAATCTTCGCTGCGGCTGCTTTGGCGCTACCGCGGATGTGCAGTGAGTTCTTGTTGTCGGGGTATTGGTCCTTGTTTCCGGGGAGACGTTCGCGGCCACCGGATGGTGCATTCAGCTTGTGCATCAAACCAAGGCGCTGGTAGTTTTGTGTCAGGGTCAGGTTACGATCCCTACAGTCGTTAGTATTTTGTATTTTTCAAGGTGAGCAAGATATGCATACCAGTTGTCGGCGATGATCTGATTGCCCAGCACATTGATTTTCTTGTGGCCGCTCTTGAGGCGGTTGTCCTTGGCCCGGGCCATGGAGCGCCCAGAGCGGGCCTTCTTCTTTTGCAAAACTTTACCCATTGTGAATTATGAGGTGAGTGTAGAGGTCGAATGGGTTCTTCTTCGCTGTGGTCGGCGATAATAAAAAGCGTTATCGAAACTTTTTTTTCTGAGTTTGCAACTCTTGGCATGTTTGCCTAATGTCCCGCGATAAACACCGATAGCGGCTCAGGTGTACGGAGTACTTCAGGGTGGGCTATATCCCCTGTTCATAACAAAACCCTGGCCAATTCCTTCGCAATGGCTTCGCGCTTTTTTCCTTCTCGCAGAACAGGCATTGCCGTTGTTGCAGGATGCCTTTTGTTCTCAGCCTTGGCTGCGGCCAATGTAAGCTCCGGAGAACTCTCCGTGGCCCAGATCGAGGAGCAATTACAGGTATGCTGTACAACAATGTGTGGTCTATATCCTACCTATAAACTAACCCGCCACAGAGCTGCCCACTAGTTGAGTCTCTCAATGAGATCAAGCGCGCAACCCGCCCAGAGACTGCTAGTTTGACCTCGAAGATCTTCGCTGTCCTCTTCCCAAGCACCCCAGCCGTGAACGCGCTTCTGGCCACTTTGTATATCTCCGGTCCACCAAGTATGTCTTCCACTCCACACTCGCAATCGGTCTCTGCTAATTCCTCTAGACTTCCTCCTAGCACTATGCCCACCCAACATCGACCCCTCCTCATTGTCAGTGATGGTCGCATTTGCCGTCGGTGGCTTACTGGGTGACACTCTCTTCCACTTACTTCCCGAGATCTTCGTCGGCGAAGCCTCCCCCGACCATGTGAGCTTCGTAATGGTCGAGCCAAACAAGAACCTACTCCTTGGCCTGGGAATCATGGTCGGATTCTTCACCTTTGTCGCAATGGACAAGATCCTCCGCATCGCGACTGGCGGCGACGGCGGCCATGACCACTCTCACAGCCACGCGCACACTGAACCAATTGCTGCAGTTACATCCGGCGCTGAAACCGAGAAGTCCAGCGGCGAGCTGAAGAAGCGCAAGTCTGCTGCGAAGGAGTCTTCCGAGGTCGTTCCCGAGAAGGAAGTCAACCCCAGCGTCAAGCTTGGCGGTTACCTTAACCTCATCGCGGACTTCACCCATAACATCACCGACGGTCTTGCCCTTTCCTCTTCCTTTTATGCCTCGCCTACCATTGGTGCGACGACCACCGTGGCTGTCTTCTTCCACGAAATTCCCCATGAAGTTGGTGACTTTGCTCTGCTTATTCAATCCGGCTTCTCGAAGCGCAAGGCCATGGGCGCGCAATTTATTACCGCTATAGGTGCGTTCTTAGGTACCCTTATTGGAATTGCCGTTCAGGAGTTTGGTGGAAACGGCACTATGTTGAACGATGCCGCGCCTGCGGGTCTTATGGGAACTAGCCTTACTTGGGGTGATATGCTTCTTCCCTTCACGGCGGGGACATTCTTGTATGTTGGAACTGTGGCTGTGATTCCTGATTTGTTGGAGACTGGTAAGGATAAGGGCGTTGAAGTGCGGAAGACTATCACACAGTTTTTGGCTGTTGCCCTTGGAGCCGGCATTATGCTTGCGTAAGTGCCTATTTTTTCCCCGCAAGGCTTCGATGGTACAATTATCACTGATACACTTTATAGTATTTCTTGGGATTGATTAAGTTGCGTTGGGTAATGGTATGCTGGTGTTACACACCAACAATATCATAGTTTGCCCAGCACCGTTGAGCCTTGGTGCAGCGACAAAAGTCCATGCCTTTGGCCCATTGAAAAGGATACATAAGTGATGCCTGACTGGTAATTAGACTAATGCTCCATTTAACTAGATACTATCACGCTTTTATATATGATCATTTAGCTTCATTTTGCACGAATAAATAACCGTTCATTCGAGATGGAAATAGCCATGTTAAAGCCAAAATAAATGCACAAGAATCATCAAGCCAGCAACACCCCTGGAGCTAACTCCTCTCCAACACGAATGAATACCCAGTACATATTCCTTGATAATACACAGAAGAATGCAAAGTCAATTTTGGAACCCGGGGAAGAAAACATCCCAAGTACGTATGAAATAAAAAAAAGCCCCAACTGAAGGACGTCGTGGTGAATGTGTTAATGAAACTCTTGAATCTCTCAAATGGCGAATAGAGGCGAGAGAGAAGTTGAGACGCGCGCAGCGCAATGTATGCAAGCGAAATAGATGCTAGATGAGGCTTGAAGCCATTTACTCGTTATAGTGGTAGACCTGAAAAACAAGTTAGCAAGATTATGCCCTTCGCTGTAGACGTTGGGGAGGGGAATCAAAACATACGAAGTAATCTGGGAGTCCAATGACCTCATATCCTAGTCTTTTAGCCATCTTCGCGAAGCCCTCCGTCTCCAACAAATGGAAGAAGGGAAAAGCGGGGAACATGGCACCGTCACGGTGCACATCAGCTTTGACCAACAAGGCCGTGCCACCAACACCGTCGAGAGCGAGCATCTTCTTCGGATCGAGATTTCTCATATCCGGCAAGTGCGCCATCAGGGTGCGATACGTGGGCATCTCGGCGTAGCCTTCCAAGAGAATCTCATCAGGCCCCATGTTCGCGGCGATGTTCTGTGCAGTCTGGCTATCAACCCAAGAGTTGAAGTCATAAGGCCTGACATCCCACCTCTTTTTCGAGGAATCGTAGTAGCGCTGGAAGCAGTTCGGCACAATAACCGGCTGATTGAAGGCCGTTAGATCTTGAATGAGAGAAGCTGGTGTCTCGACGATGTCACTGTCCAGCCAGAGGACCCACGAGGTCGCAGGGCCGAGCGTTGTGAAGACCAGACTGTTCCTCGCACGACTCATGGACTCGCGACGCTCTTTCTGCGCGGCCATTGCATGGCGGGCCTTCTCATCCTGTGATTTCAACGGGGGGTCAAAGTCTTGGCGCAGGATACTAATGCTGGCAAAGCGGTTGTCGATTGGACCTGATTGGGTCTTGGCAATGGCCTTTTCCAGAGCTGCAACTGCAGCATTTCCCTCGCTTGTCTTCGGTGCGATGAATCCCAGGGAGACCAGCTCGTGCGGATAGTTCAACTTCTCGATGTTATCCCAGTATCCTTGGTAAAATCGGGCTAGCGGGGTGAGGATGAGGACCCGCTCGCCATTGGCAACCGAGTCCGCGGTGTTGGTTAGGCTGTTGAGGTCGTAGTGCACAACCGGGGGAGCGGCCTGGTGTCCATCGCTTCGAAGTGCCTGTGATTTGAAGAAGGGTTTGGTGGGTGGGGAGAGAGGGTGTTCAGCGGCGTTTTCCTGACGCTGTTGGGAGCTAGCGGATGCGGAGGATGCGGAGGGGGCTGTGGGCGAGAGCAGGAAACATATGAAGCCAAATGCTAGCAGCGCTGCCAGCACGAGGCTGATTGGGCTCGTGCGGCGCATGGAGCGTGCAACGGCCATGGCCGATCAGCGTTAAATTGTAGATTGCGACGTGTCGCTGTCTAGTGAAACCGCTGACGTTTAGTCCACGTGAATGCCTCAGGCACTAAGGAATCAGATCCAGGTTACTCAACCTTGCCTCAATTCCTCCCCTGGTGATGACTATGGGAGAGTAAATCGCGACGTAGAAGAGATTGAAAGGTTTAGAGAGAGCTATGGATAACTTTTATTCTTTGCCCTGTCCGGAAAGAGACAAACTAAGACAACTCATGTCACTTCACTATCAAGGACCCTTCAACGGCGGCCGAGATCACAATGGCGGCCTAGATCACAATCCAGTTGTATGGCCCAATTATGAATTGCTATTCGCTCGGGCTTTGGAGCTCCTCCCGTGTTATCGCGGGATACTTCAAAGAGCGTCCCGAAGAGTCTCATCGCCGAATGCGGCCCGTTGCTACATAATACATTCCTAATCACTGACTTGCCCCGACTCATGATCAGCTTTTCCTCAAGAGCAAACAATGTAAAAGACAATGGGTATGTTCATCTAAGTAACTATCTAGCTATGGAAGTTGGGGATATTCAATAATTTTGGGTTCGTGGTAGACCGTGAAAAAATTAGGGCAAGGTACGCATCACCGCCTCGAACGCAACCAGAGCTATTGCATTCGCCGGGAACGCTCTAAGGAAGCATGGAACAAAGCCCCGCCAGTACCCTCTCCACCCGCGCTCACGCCATACGGCGACGGCAGCGTCCTTCCAGCCACGGAACTGTCGCTTGCCGTCGTTCAGCGCACCACCCATAGGGTCAGTCATAATACGCTGCTTAACGACGTCGGACGGGTAGGAAGTGAGCCAGAAGCATTGGGCAGAGATACCGCCGGCCCAGAAATTGATCACAGGGGCAGACAACTTGGTGTTCTCTTTGAAGTAGCGGGTTAGGACGTCATAGGAGCCCCACCAACAGAAGAAAAATGAGCGGAATAAGACCGTCGCCCAGAGACCACGGTATAAGCCGCTGACGCCATGCGTGCGAACCTACCCATGTTAGCAGGTTGGTACATTGTGTGGTCATTGGCACTCACTATTTTGCGCAGGCAGTCGATGGGCCCGCTATACAGGCGCTTCGATTTGTCGGCGGCATATTGAATCTGCAAGCGTGCCTTGATATGCTCGACTGGGGCTGCGATAAAGCTGACCGTTGTACCAGACATAACACCTGCAATGCCATGTCCGAAAGTTGGTAGGGTTGCAAGGTCTGGCTGGTGACTCGAGAAGGGAATGTAGGGGCGGATGTGAGGTTTTGAGAAGACATTTTCGAGTAGTAATCGGCGGTATAGAGTCAAGGATCCCAGCATGCTGCAGGCAGTAGTCAGTAATCTATACATTTTCTTCTCGATAGCGCGGCGCACTTACACAGAGTCCATCATCATCCATCCGACCAGCGGTGGTGTAGCTCCCTTATAAAACCCTTGTAATCCTTCCTTTCGCAAAGTCTGCAACGAGCAATCCAACGGCCCTCGGAACTGCACATCTTTGCTAGTTTGTAGGCGAACTTTGATGGTGTCGAATCTGTTCAATTTCATTAACAATGGATCCAAAGCGACGTTAGTTGGTTATGCGTACGGATGGCCAACTATAGAAAACAAGATTAGCTTCAACTCCAAACTCAAAGCACAGGAACACAACTTACCACTGAGTTTTGCAATGCCTGAAAAAACACCCGCCACAAAACCCTTATAATTCGACTTCGATGTCCCAGACTGGGCAAGTGCGTTTTCCCCCTTCTGTTGACCCGTCATATCAGATGATGAAACAGGTAAAGGCGCCGGCGCCGACGACATTCTCTATATTGTAAGAGCCCCAAGTTTCCCCCTCAATCACTGACTGGATCGCAGACCAAATGCGTCACGGAATGGACGCCTCACGCAAATCGTAAGGCGCTCGTGCGCAACGCGTGGGCGACTATCGAAATATGGTGACGGATGCCGATAAGGATAGAGCGATTTGGGGTTTTTGGGCTGCCAAGGAGGGTTTTGCAAACTGACGCGTCTTTTCTGGGGAAGCTGGGGTATATCTATGACTGTAATGAAGTAATTCAGAGGAATATTGCTGGGGGAAATTGTTTTAATGATTATTTGGGCCCCGCAGATTCCTCTCGGGGAGAATGGGTGTTCCTCCGAATCGCGGGTGATGCCTTAGGCGCGTATATTAGAGGTGGCTTTCGAACTAGCCCCTATATGGACTAGTAAATCTGGGGATCACCTTCCAAAGTTTGAAAGTGTGCCTGTATATCATCTCTTATCTGATCTTTGTAAAGGATTCCGGGCTACCCCAGACCAATCTCAAAAACAACAGGGCAGGACTTGGTGGGAAGCCTGGTAGGGGAAAGTTATACAAAGTCCCCCCAAAAAAGGCCAAAAGTCATATTACCTGAAGACCAGAAAGGCTGGATTCCATATCTAGGCAATACGAAAGCATGGCGGACCCCAAACGAAGTGGATATCCATCCATTTTTGATTCAACTGACACATCCACGTGTTGGATCGCTAGACCGACATATCAGCCGCACCTCGGAGATTGACCCTCAACAACCCATAACTTCACAATTGGAGGAATCCCAGTCATAGTGCCAGGCTGGGTAGCTGTCGCTGTGGTGTGTTACAAAAGGGGGAAAATTACATGTACGATATGGTGTTTCGTAGAAGATTGATACTTGGGCTCGACTTGGGTATGCGAGGCGATGCCAAGGCGCAGAGACTGGACTAGAGTGGGGTATATAATTTAGATACATGATATCGTGATGCAAGATCAAACGCAGTAGTCGGCCAGGGCCGAGGATATTTGATCATGGATAGTGAGAATGACGAGAATGAAAAAATTGAAACCCAAAAAGACGAAAAAAAGCCCCATGCACACTGTAGAAGCTGGGGTGAACTCATTTTGTTCCAGAACACCAAACAGCAGATATAAAACGAACAAGCCCAAAAGAAGGGTTCCGAGGGGATCCCACTACTCTAATGGATAATAAACAGAAAGAACCTTTTGATGCAAGCCGGAGTGGGTTAGGTCTACCGGCCTTTAGCGGGCTTTCGAGCCATCTGTCGAACCTTCTCCTCGTAGGCAATGAGCTTCTCCACCAGCTCAGCCGGAGGACCGGAATTCTTTGGGACATCTCGTGGAGCCCGCTCGGATGTGTTGTTCATCGAGCCATGGGCGAGGTAGTCACCGGCCTCTAGCGCCAGGGGCGTGACGGGGCCCGGGCTAACCAAAGGGTCCAAACGGGGGGCCGAAGGACCTTGGTGGACGCCCTCGATGAACTCACGGTATTGCCACATCATGTCGCGTGACCCCGCTGCAGTGCGGTAGGCAGGCTGCCGGGATTGGCGAGGAGATGAAGGCTGGGGAGCAGTATTGTGAGAAGTACTGCTCGACTGATATACGGCGGGATGGAACCGGGGCAGGCTACCGAGATGGAAGTTCTGGGTTTGGGTTTGCTTGGCCTTGGATGGGTTCTGGGTCCGAGAGCGAGTTGGCTGAGGAGAGCTTGAGCGTCGTGGAGACATGATAGGCGAGGCAGCCGGGGAGTAGTAAGGTGAGTTATCAGAACGCATTCTCCTCGAAGATGGGGGCTGTGATGAATATTGGCTATGACGGATAGGTCGGATTGAGGGGACTTTTCGGGACTTGGCGGATTGAGACGCACGTTCCCAATCGTCGAAATAAGAGTCGTGGTCAAATCTACCGGTGAGTGGTGTCACTGGAAGATCGTATATTGGACCGGGGCGTCTTGGTATGGGAATAGGTCTCGTTGACGAGGATAAGGCGAGTGATTCAAAAGCGTTGATCGGAATGGAATCCGGATAACGGGGCCGAGGGGAAGGGGGATTATAAGTAGATGAGGTGGCTGTCAAATCTCGCAGGGAGGAGAGTGACACAGGTGTGGGGTATCCGTATTTGGTGATCAGACTTTCAAGATGGTCTCTTGGTTGGAATGTTGAGCGGTGCGAGGCCAATGATAGGTCTAAGTTTTGATTAGCTTGGGGAAATGAGAATGTCGCACGTGTTAAGCGAAGAATGTATGAAATAGTGTCGCGATAGCCGACGAAATATTGAAGTAAACAATATATAGAGAGGGGAGAAGGTTTGAGAATATAGAGGGTAGTAGGCCAATGATGAAAGGGGGGGAAATATATCCGAAATATCAAAGGGGAATATAAGTAATTGAGCCACTTACTTGGGGAGTATGAACTACTAGGCGATGAGAGGTAGAGAGACGATGAAGATGAAGAAGAGGAAAATGAAAAAGGAGAATCGGAGGAATGGTTTTGCATCTGTTGGTTTTTTCCTGGCCCGTTAGTGTGCTTGATGGCACTTGCGGGGGGGTGGAACTCCACCAAAAATGTGTAGAAAAATATGAAATTGCCAACGAAACTGGAAGAAACTGGGAAAATAGAATGAAGGGAAAAAAATATATAGGGAAAAAACAGAGAAATATAGAAATATATGAGAGATATAAAAAGTAGTAATCTTACTAGAATTTCCAACTCCGAGGACTCCGATGTCCTCTCAAACGCTTCAAGGCTAAACCAAGGAAGAGACGGGATGACGAATGTGCCGCTTTAATAGTGGAGCATCTTAGATCTCCAACGTCTCTGTGGGAAACAGAAATGTGGAAAGAAATAGAGCCGTTAGAACAGTTAGAACAGTTAGAGCAGTTAGAACTACAAAGTAGGAAATGCCCTTCTTTTAAAGCTCCGACCCAGGCACCTGTGAAACAATACTTCACCTCTCTCTCTCCATGTGCAACTGCCTGGTGACCCATAAGTTTCTTCCAAGGCACTCAATTTTTATAATTAAAAAATTGACTTCTTGATATCACAAATCGAAATCCAGGTTTTATTTACAAAATAGCGATAGAAAGTGAACGCCCAGGGTGAAAATGGGTGAAGATCCCCGTCCAGTCACGATTGATTGACCAGGGGTGTCATGCGTCAATATGGTCATTTCTGATTCGCACGCTCTTGACTCACCACAGTGACGTTCCGCTACCGACTCATGTCATCCGTCTAAATCTCCAGGGTTTTCTGCTAAACCCAATCTATTCCCGAGCTGGATAGGAGATTCCATTCAGCCAACCACAATTTGCGTGGCCTGTTCCGCCGCATCACCCGACACCTATCGCTACGCGTAGATGGAAGAAACCGTTAATGCTGACTGGCTGACGCACTGGCCTGAACCTCCATATAACATACTCTGGGTGCTTGATACAACCTCATGATGGCCTGGCGTGCATACATGTCTCGGATTACCGTCCAAGCTCCCGACCATACCCCCTTTGCCGGAATAGTGACACATTTAGTGACAAGACTGCAGAGATGGATATCTTTAGAACAGGGTGCAATTACATATTCAAATGAGCTAATGATTTTATCTTTAGGTGAACTATAATCCCTCAAGGTGACATCTGAACGATATTATGACCCACTGGTGTCATGGGCGCATTAATGAATTAACAAAGGCACAAAAAGATATTAGTCTTAATTAGGTTAGCTGCAGAATGGGCTAATTTTGGTTTCATCGCGTATTTTGCCCAGGTGCATATCTAGAGATCTTCTTCACATCCGCTACATGTACTCCGTATATCCGGAATGAAAGATATGTGAGGGCTGTAAGTGGCGAATACCCGTGGACTATGATATTAATAATACCATTCCTAATAACTATTGGAAGTTTTAAGAAATAGGTTGAGGTTGCAGTAAGTTTCGGCTTGTCCTTTGCCCCTGCATACTATAAGTTTTTGTACCCTCAACCCTTTCTGCTGTCCTACACGAGGAAAAGGGTGAAACTTACTAGCGAGAAGTCTATAGTCCAAATTCAAATTCAAGCCAAGTCCATAGAGAGAAAATAATGTATGAGACCATAGTCTTGGCTACTTGCCCCCACGGAAACTATCTGATGCGGTGAAACCAACCTTGGAATCCCATTCGGAACAGTATATCCCAATAACCCTTAAACTGAACAAAATACATAACCAACAAAGCAAGCGGGTCTTTCTCACAGCCTCAACCGCCCAACAAGACAAAGCTACGTGTCAACCGGACCCAACAAGACAAAGCTACGTGTCAACCGGACCCTTTCGGAGTTCCCACGGTCCCAAAAGTCGATATCAAATCTCAAATATTTGTCCCTAGACCAAAACCATCTATAACGGCGCCCCGTCCTTTCAAAAAAAGGGAAAAGCGACCCGCATCTGCAGCAGACCGAAAAGAAAAGCTTACCAGCATAATCTCAAACATAGGCGACCCACATATATCCCGGAAATCTACTACTTCGTTATCCTGACCTGGCACTAGCCGACACATGTCAAGTAATACGGTCGGTTGACTTCCACATTGTGGAGATGTACTCGATAGCCCGACGCAAGGGAGTCTAATGTCGCATACAGTGGCTTGTGAGGGCGTCGAATAAAGCGTGCTTAGCGGCGGCTTGCTGCATGGATTCGGGTAGAAGGGGGTTATGTAGTGAGATGGGGTGATACCCGATGCGGGTGCGCGGGGCAAGGTGGGTAGTGGTTGGTGGGCTGAAATAAGTGCTTATGGTGAGCTAGAAAAGTGGGCTGATATACATACTACGCACAGCGCATCTATATCACACTTGGACTGGGATTATTGGCCTGGCAGCATGCGGGAAGCCGGGGCATCCTAGTAGAGTATTCCGCTTCCACCAGTCAGCAAATTATCTTTGTCATTTGCTGACTCTAGACCGTCGCTTTTTTTGTTTTTTTTTTGGCAAAACTGTATTCCCGACGCCGTTCTGAGATAACCGCTACACCAGTGGAATCTTACAAAATGCCCAACTCACGCCAGCGAACGTGTGGAACTAACCTTTGCCCACCTTTACATACGTGGGGGCATAGTAGTCGATATACTAGTGCCCAATAGACGAACGAGATTAGAGGTCCCTCCTGCAACGGCGAGGAAGTTTGGGTGGATATGTATCCATATGTACTCGGTAGCGTCGTGCCCATCTGATTGGCAGCTGATCCCCCAAAGCCCAAGATGATCTAGAATATAGTTAGAAATGATCAGGTACTTGTATTCCAGCAGCCAACCATACACAATCGCCGTGATTAATCCGGACTATTTCTTTGAGTAGGGAATTGACACATACCATCGACATACCAGCCAGAGATAACACAGGAATAGCAAGCTGAAGCCTCAGCTTATCAATACGAACCTCCACCGCAGATTGTGTATCCATATTCGGAACCAGATTCATCTTCCGCACCTGTCGTCCAGCGAATCCAAGAATGGTCCAGTTTTGAACGTCGGAAAGAAAGTATCGAAAGTGCCTTCGCTATATGCAAGAAAAACAGATAACTCATCTGTTCACTGTTGTAGCCATACACATCATTCATTACACTCGAGATACTTGTCATAGGGAGATAGATACCATAATAGCTTTGGGCAGTGACTATCAAAACAAGGAGGGATGATAGATCGGGAAGAATAAAATGCAGGATAAGCAGAGGGTTGCTAAGTCTAGATTCTGTGCTGGTGATCCATTGCTGGTCGGATTTTTAACGGCGGTTCGGAGGGAGCATCTGATTAACGCTCTTGTTCTACCACCATGGACGATTCGTCATTAACGATGTTGCGTGAAGTCTCTGAAGAAAGAATTATTGGAAGCAGGAAAATAGGGAGCTTGTGCTCCAAAGAGCCAGAAAATGGAGCGCCAGCTTAGATGGCTGCTTAAGAGACCCTAGTTGATATTGTTCCCTCCACCTAAAATCTTTAAATATATATCTAGCCAACCATACACAATAATTTTTGTATGTGTCTGTCTTGATTTCTCAAGGCCATGTATTCGGTTTATGCGGAGCACAAATGACTCATTACCAACTATGATGCTACATAGAGACGTTGTGTTTCATGGTTCCTACAGTATTCATGCTGGTGGTCGCGATGAAGGCTTAGAGGGACGCATTCTCCAGAATACGGACTTGAGATTTTTTGGCATTGATATCCATTCGTACAAACTGTGGAGTCTCGAAGATGGACTGGGAGCTGTTGAGACAGTTTGTGTTCTAGTCATACTGTTGTTCATCATAATTAAGTGCGACTGGAGGAGTCTCCTCTGGACATTCTATATCTAAAGTATTAAAGGGATACTTAGGCCATGATTACATATATATTCTATAGCAATGAATGGATCAAACTTTCTAGAAATTCAATGCCTGGTTATACATAAAAAAAATCATCTTTCTATATCACACTTTCCCCCATCTTTTTCTATGGTGTAGGTATGAAGCTAAGCAGGGTTCTGCGTACCTCGTCGACGCTTACCACAATTGTCTATCCACAACACTTCATGGAAAATCCATCTTTCTTTTCCTTCCTCATCCCCCACCTTCTGCTTTTTTTTTCCTTTCAACTAACCACCAATACATCCAGTTTTTATTCGCATTTACCCTTGGACCAGTTTGGTTGCGTCTTCATCTTTATTCTGACCCGACGCGTGGTCTTGACGCGTCACATCTTTCATAATGTCCACTCAGGACTCTTCCACTGAATTAGGTCGCAACGAATCCCAGCACACTAATCAACCCTCTCAGTGCTTGATCACACTACTCAGGAACATTGTTGAGAGACCCAACTGTCTCAAAACTACACCGCCCGTGCGGTGAGATAATGTTTGGAAGAGACCAGAGACTGCTATTAGCTGAAGGTATTTTTTAGATCAATGCCAATTTCATTCCCAACTTGAGAGGACTTGAGCGCTGGAGGTATTCACCAATCTATATGGGCTTCTCGGCGGTCATCTTTGAGGGGCTATCGAGGGGTTACACACCGAGTGTTGGTCGTAGCTATAGTAGGGTATATGGGTAAGCATATATACACCTACATAGCTACTCCAGAGCTCCCTACGGAGTAAAGGTATATAACTAGAAAGGGTCGACCCTCCCTCGTACAACTAAAAACGCTCTCGCGGGGTTAGAGGCGGTCACCTGATAGTGCATAAATTCTACCAATCGGAGTGTCCACTGATAGCGGGAGTCTGACTCATCCCGCAATATTGCCAGAGAGGGGCAACAGAAGAAATTCATGATTTCGTTGACCATAAAATAAAGTGAGAACTGGCCTTTGACTGATGCAATTGAAAACTTACAATTGACAAATTTATAGCAGACAAACAAACAACTATGGCTAACGAAGCAACCCAGCCTCCGGCGCTCAACTCGTTGAGCATCGACGAGAAAACCCCAGAGACTAAGGCCGTTGGCCAGATCGTGACGCCCTTCGATGTCTCCGGTGGAGTTGATGAATCTGGAAAGCTGTTGCCGGTTGACTATGAGAAGCTCACGAGGGAGTTTGGAGCAACACCCATCAATGCAGCTCTATTGGAGCGCTTTGAGAAAGTGACTGGCCATCGGCCACACCGTTTTATGCGCCGGAGTATCGTGTTTAGTCACCGTGATCTGTCAAAGATTCTAGATAAGCATGAGAAGGGCGAGCCATTCTTCCTCTACACTGGCCGCGGCCCGAGTAGCGACAGCATGCACGTTGGACACACTGTGCCGTTCGAGTTCACCAAGTATGTATAGTCTCAATGGCCAACTAGGCAGATACCAGAAACTGACCTAAATATAGATGGCTCCAGGATGTCTTCGATGTTCCCCTCGTTATCATGATGACCGACGATGAGAAGTTCATGCACTCCCAGAAGATCGAGATTGAGGACGCCAAGAGATACACAAAAGCAAACGCCAAGGATATCATTGCTGTTGGATTCGATATGAAGAAGACTTTTATCTTCAGTGATTTCCAATTCATTGGTGGTGCTTTCTACGAGAACATGTGCCGGATGGCGAAGAGAATTACAATCAACCAGGTCAAGGGCACATTTGGGTTTAACGACAGCAACAACATTGGCGAGTTCCACTTCTGTGCCACCCAGTCCGCCGCGGCCTTCTCTACCAGTTTCCCCCACATCTTCGGTACCGA